ATTTTTCTTTACATAATTAGTAACACTCCTGCGTAAGACCGCTCTTTTTGTTTTAAAAGTTATAAGTTCACTCATAATTGATCAATTCAAAAACAGAAATTGTTCTTAAATCACTTAACACTATTATTAAAATGAAATCGAATTCTATGTTGTATTACAACATTGTTCTTAAAATTTAACAACAAATTAAACGAATTTTTGTTCAAAATCCACTTACCTCACAAAGTGGATAATTTTCACGAACCATATGCATATTTCCGTTGTTAGAATACACTTAGAACAGTCACTATCTTCACTAGCTCTCCGGCTAGACTTTTGACCAACAATATATCTTTGCTGTTTTTACTGAATGACGTATATGCATATATATATATGGTGTGTATATATATATTTGCAGCAATTGCGCAAGTAGTAATAACTTGTATTCGCACTAAATGGATTTAAGATCATACAACATTATATATATATATATATACAGCCCGGATTTAGCATTTTTCCTAGGTGGGGCAAAAACTGCTGCCCTCACCCATCTTCCTTCAAGTGTCTCTAGCAAATTTTCATTTATTTAATAAACATAAGAATAGGTAGAGTTTGAAATAAAATGTAAAATCCATTTTATAATAAAAAATTCTTTATGTGCCCTTTTTTATAAAAGAAATATGAAAAAAAAAAAGAAAAGGTTCAGTTTCTTTACTTGTGGCAAAGCATAAGAGGGCTGGCTATCTGTCTAAGAGGAGAGATGCTTTTTGCTGAAGACTTTCTAAGAGTAATTGGCTCCTATGCAAGTTACGCATGAGCGAATGACAGAAATGTCTATGCAGCCAGCTAATTCTTTAGAGTTCTACCCCTGGACCAAACCACCCAGTGTTCAGACTTTATCGCTCAGCAAATGGTGGTACGACATACATACCAAAAGTTAATAATTAAAAACTCATGCAAACCCCCCTAAAGCAGTTGCCTCTGCAGTGCACTGAAATAATCAAATTTTCATTTTCCCTGAAATAGGAATTTTTTTTAATATTTGCAACAGTAACTGCTCATACTAATAAATGATACTAATAGAAAATGATTCAAGACTAAACACCAAAATAGTTCAGCATAGTACAAAAATGGGAATTACACATTGCTAAATAATAAAAAAATTCATTTAAACAAATATAAGCCAATTACGAATCACTAATGCAATGGATTGAATAATTTTGTACCAATTTCTCTATACTAACCATAACTTTAACTCAGCACTATAAAGATTCATTTCACAATAACGCCTTTATGTAGCCTACTCAAGAACTCTACTATTGTCCTCACACAACCCAATAATATAATAAATATTTACATATCACACAAAAGGCTATTGTTATACTGTAATAATTAAATTTTACATTTTCTCTGAAATATGCAATTTTGCAATATTTGCAGCAATAACTTGCCATACAATAACATACATAATAACAACTAAAGGATAATGATTCAGTACTAAATACTAAAGCAGTTCAGCATAGTACAAAAAATAGAAATGACACATTACAGTCAAAAGTCGTTAATTCGGACACCCATAATACGGAATGATCTATAATCCGGACCTCAAAACTAAAAACTTTCTGCGCATGCGCCGCGTTGACACATGCGCATAGGCGTTTGCGCGTGCGCGTAAGACCTTTTACGACTGCGCATATGAGTGTGCGCAAGTGCAGAATACGTTTTCGCGTGCGCGTTTTATGTATAATGGACGTATAAGCTAAAATTATCTAATTATCTATTTCAGTTAATGTTGATGATTGCGTTTTTCCTTAATTTTCGAATTGGATCCGGCTTATTATTTTTTGCAGACTGTAAGAGCAATTTTATAAAAGTAAGCTTAAACTTTCGATTATATCCAATAGAATTTCCGATATATATTTGCTAATATGTAAAGGATCTAAAGCGAAAGTATGTTTTGAAATCCGAAATCTGTTTATCAATTTCACGCTGTTCGGCGGGGGGAACGCCTCGGCGCACGTAATGAATTGGAAGTTGATCTGTCTCATCACTATCCTTATCTTCAAGCGCAGATGTTTTTATTTTATTTGGCTTATAATTTCTTACCAAATGTAGTATTTCATCTTCGATGCATGCTCCGTCTTTGATATGATTTAAAACAAGTTCCGTCATTATAATTCGCTTCCGATAGTCGAAGAAAAGTGACAGAGGTTATTGAAAACGAAAAAATTTCGATTGACAAATTAGTCGGTGTTCTCGACACAGCAATTATAGGACTTGAACAGCGGAACTTTGTAACTGAACAAGAAATTATGTCTGTTTAATAGAATTAAAGAGAAAGTATTATCACATGAAACGAAGCAAAACTTAAACAACTTACATTGAAAGAAATGTTTAATAAAGTAAACAAATAAATATTAAGCTTTTTCTTTTTGCAAATTTTGATACCCTTTAGATCATAATTGTTCTTTATTTCATAAATTACGGTTTCATATTTTTAATTTTAGAATTTCTGCATGCCATCTTACGAGATTTAAACTGATGATCTATAATCCGGAAAAATCGATAATCCGGAATCGCCGAAGTCCCGACGAGTCCGGATTAACGACTTTTGACTGTACTAATTAATATCTTAAACAGATATATACAAGTACAGATTAAGAATGAAATGGATTCAATAATTAACAAACCAAGTTCTCTAAACTAACAGTGGTTTTAACCTGGCACTTTAAAATTTCATTTTACTATAATATCTTTATATAGGCTATTCAAGAACTGTATTTTTATCCTAACACAGCCCAATAAATATTTGCATATTCATACAAAAGACTATTTTTGTGCTGTAATAATAAAATGTAAATTTCTCTGAAATATGCAGTTTTGCAATATTTGTGACAATAACTAGCCAAAATAATGGAAAATGGTTCAGTACTAAATACTAAAGCAGTTTAGCATTGTACAAAAAATAGTAATGACACATTACTAATTAATATCTTAAACAAATATATACAAGTTACAAATCACTATTGCAATGAATAATTACATTTATTTTTTTCATTAACATACTTTAATAAGTAAATGTGCATACTTTTAAATAACATACTTTAATAAGTAAATACTTTAATAAGAATGTGCAGGAATAATATCTTCCTTGTGAATTTTAATATTTATTTGATTAATTTCTCAAAGAATATTAGCCCAAATTGTCTGGTTCATAATAAATTCAGAATTTTTTACAACATGTAGCAAATGTCCTGCTTCATACTTTGATTCCGCACTAAGAGAAAAGATTTTTAATTTCTTTCGAGGATTTTACTACGCCTGGTAAATTTGTTAGAAGGGCTTTTACAGCTACATATTTTGCTGACCATCTCATCTGGGTTTTAAGTTAATTTTTGTACATTTTTTCATAGTGTCCCATGGAATTCCCTTCCTGACAAAAAAGCAAAATATCTTCTGGATTAATTCCAAATAGGTTAACTGCTTCGAGGCATGATGAGGCAGAATGCACACCAACAGGATTCAAAGAGTGAGCCAAATATGGCACAAATTTGGCCAGCTTATTCATTTCTTTAATCCTGGCTTGTACTCCTTTATAAGTACCAGCTATATTAGATCTGTTATCATAAGACTGACCATGACATTGTCCAATATCCAAACCATCAAGTGTCAGTTTTTCCAGAATCCGTTAAAAAATACATTCTTCTGTCTTTCCGCCAACTTTTATGAAATCAATAAAGGTTTTCTTTATTTCACACACATCAGCACATATTTTTACATATCAAATCACCTGGCTCATTTGTTCTGTATGCGACACATCTGGAGTGCAATCGGACATTATTGCATAATATTTGGCTTCTTTGATAATCATTTAAAATGCTATTGCGAACTGTTTTTGTTCATTATATCCAGAATTTCATTTTGATAAATATGGTAGTCCTTTTTTTAGGTGTTCTAATTGATACATAAAAGTTGAGTTATGTTTGGCTAGCAGAGTTATTAAATTTAAAAAAAAATTGCCTTGACTAGGCTGAGAACATTTTGTGAGCAGGTTGCTAGGGGTTTCATCAGACCAAGAGAAAGAAAGACTTGTTGAAAGATACAATACAGCATGTATAACTATGCGTAGGCTCTCTCTCCATTTTTCTTTCTCTGTGTGAATTAGTCTCTCAGTGTCATGATCGATGCCTTGACGCGATTTCATTTCATGTAGTCGAATTTTCCACTTAATCATGCACTCTCTATGGATTTCAGATGCAGTTAACCTTTATGAAATTTTTTTCCAATTAATGAATCTTGTAGTACACAATGCTGATGTAACAGCAGAGAGGTAAAAGAGATTTTTGTTGTATCAAAATTAGGCAGCATTCCAAATACAATCCAGCGCCACGCTTGAATTTGCCACCCGCAGAAGTTGCTACCCAAGGGCACAGACCCTGGCTTCCCCCCCTTTAGGTCTGGGAATGTATATATTTTTTAACATTCAAATTTGATTTGAGTTTTACATTCACTTTTTATTTGTCAGTTTTCTTGTTAAGAATTTCATACTTCTTGTATTTAAACTTTTTGTAATTTCAGTTTATTTTTACATAGTGTTAAAAAATTATATACGGGAACCACAGTATCACATTTGCTTTCAAGCAATAGCATGAAGAATTTCCTTTTTACTGTACTTTATTATATATATTATATAATATATATATATATTATAATTTTAAATGCCTCCAAGTTATTTCATTCGACTACAATTCTACTAACTTTCTCTAAGGAGATATATACTCAATAATCCAGTAGTAAATAAATTATATATGTATATATACGATTATATGAACAGAAAAAAAATATTTAAAGAAGAATATAAAATCATTTCAAGAATTTTTGCACATTATGCCGCTGAAAATTAATCAATAAATACGTTAAAAAAAATTAGAATCATTTTATCATAAAGACCATGATATATTATTATTATTATTATACATTTCATAATGTTAATTCCTTTTTTTTTTTTTTTCTCTTTCCAGAATCATTTGGTCAGAATTATCCTGAGGTGAGTAACTTTCCTTTCAGTCAGAGTAAGCTATTTTTATTACTCAATATACGTTGGCAGGAAAAGTTAAATGAATAACTCTAAGATGCTTTATGTTAACCCTTTGCGGCATGGTGGGTCAATATATGTCCCACCTAATTAATATTTATTTTCTCTGTTAGCAATTTCCGTTAGAAATTTTCTAATCTTTTAAAAATAATCTATTTTAGTTATTATTTTTCTCAGTAGATGTTACTACTATACCAGGGCTTAAGTTATAAGCAAAAAATATTCAAAATAGGATCACAAGAGTGATATCCATGTATCTCGCATTTTTCAATATTTTAAAAATTTTGGTATACAATTTATGATATGTATGATTGTTTTAATATTCAAAGTATTTTATTTTCAAAAATCTTAATGGATTCAATATTTCATAACATTAATTTTGCAGTTGAAATAAGTGGGTTAAAAATTGTCCCACCACACACTTGAATTTCCGCTCAATAGATGGCAGCACTCAGAATTTTTTTTTTTTTTTTTTTTTTTTTTTTTAATCTACTTTTTTCGTGATTGCGCGCGCTTTTTACGTCTGTTGTATGCTCTGATGTGCTAAAATGTCTAGATAAAAGTTAACAACTCAGGAAGCTTTGGATCTTTTTGCTGAATTGCCATCCGATGCGACTTCTTCAGATGTGATTGCTTCAGATGTCAGTTCTAATTCAGGTGAAATTGAAATCCAGGAGAGAATAACTGAGGTTGAAGTTATTGCTGAAGAAGAAAGGGAAGTAGTTATAATTCGTTTCGCTTTTTAAAGACAGACCCATCTATGCATGTGGCACTGTAAATATGAATGGGAAGTATCTACCCAAAAATTTAAAAAACAAATTTATGTCAAGAGAATATATAGACTTTTCAGTTAGCGATGATTCAATTTATTGCATAAAATGAAATTATAAAAGATCTGTTTCTATCCTGTCTTGCTTGGAAAAGGCAACTGAAATGAAAGAAATTAATAGAAAAGAACGAAATGGAAAGACAAAAAAAGTACTGTGCCCAAACAGCATTATTTCATACAATAAGAATATGGGATATGTCGACTAATTGATCAACTGAAAGGACTATATGAAATATACCACAAAAGCAAGAAATGGTGGCACATGATTTTTTTTTTTTTTTTACTTTTTAGATGCACCATGCATTTATTCTATATACCATGCAGTTATTCAGTAAACTCATTTATTCTATTTAAATTTGTTCGCGAACCCGATCATGATGTAAAAACAATGAAAGATTTTCTTCTCTCAGTTATAGAAAGTCTAATGGCACTTGCAGGCAAGAAAGAGCTGAAAAGAAAATTGAAATCCCCAGTTCAAATAAAAACTAAAAACCTGTTCGTACAACCAGAAAAGAGACTAAAAAATGTAAGTCACACGCCAAAGAGAACGAGCAGAAGAAGATGTGCATATTGAAGCACATCGAAAGAAGAACGACGAACATTTCGGATGTGTGAAACATGGGAAGTGCCTCTATGCTTACAAAAGAATGAAACAACATGTTTTTCAAAGTTTCATGAAAAATGACTTTTTTTGAATTTTAATCATATATAAATGTTTTTGAATCAAGTGCCAATTTTAATTTTATTTAGTATCATATGTACGAGTATCAAATTTTAATCTTAAAATAATATTCAAGAAATTTTTTCTTTTGTTCCTAAAATTTAAAAATATTAAAAATATATATATGCAAAATGTGCATATGCAAAATTTACAAGTCATGCATATATCAATAAGTACAAAATGCTTTAGTGTGTTTATTATGAATATTTTAGAATGCACGCTTTATTTTGTTTATTCATTCCACATATGATTTTTTTTTCCTGCTATACACCAATATGCTATAAGACATGTGCTAGTTGCATGGTGGGACAAACGGTATCCCACCTTACCCCGTAAAAAATAAAAGTGCAGAATTTTTTTCAAGCTTTAAAGGCACTTAAGTAAGTCCATCTGACTTATTCTAAGGCATTTTTTTTAAGATTAAAATATATTTTAAATATGCGTGTCGCAAAGGGTTAAATGTATTAAGTGATATCCAATAAAAAAATAGTTGGTAGCTCAAAGTCAGCATTATCACATAGTCCATTGGGATTTACTTTCTCTACCCAGAAATATTCGTTTGTTTATGCCATTCCTTCAGTAAAAGGTGAAAGAGGGTGATTCAGTCTAATATCAAAAACTGTACAAGTAGCTGGAGGAAATTTTCTCTTGCAAAAGTTGGAGCATGTCACTGAGAAGAGGTTTGACAGGTTGAGAGAAATAGTGTGTGATTGGGAGAATGAAAGCAGAGCAAATGCTGATGAAGGTCTGCAAAAACCTAAAAGTATCATGTCAAGGATCCTGAAGCAGATAACCAAAATAAAAAAGTAGAGCACAATAGTCTCAGGACCATTATTTAGCAGCAATTGCTAAAAGAAATGAATGAATGATATCAAACCATATTTCAAGATTATGGTATTATATTCATAGCTATAAACATTTTAATAACGACTCGTACTTTATCTTATAAATCAAAATAGTATTTATGTATTAGTACAGCCAGTTAGACAGAATTTGTCATGATTTTTTTGTTGGGTGAAAAATTCAAGTTTAACGTCTGTTATTTTATTATTATTATTATTATTTCCAATGACTAGGCAAAAAGTTACAAAGAACTAAAATCTTACAAACAATAGAACTAAGAAAAAAGAGACCAAAAGAGCCCCACATTGAAACAAGTGGTCCCTGTCCATTTCTTCTCCAGGATCACAAAGTGTAGAACTTCTGTTATGTAAGAAAGTGTGTCATCCACGTTATGTGAAAATTGAAAATCATATAGTTTCTATTAATTTTGGAAGAACACACTTCAAAAAAAATTTCTTGTTTTTAAGACAGAAAGGGGAAGTAACTAAATAAAAAAATAAAAATTTTATGTAACGTATATGCATTAAAATTCAAGCTACCATTTATTTTTTTATTTGTTAATTAATTTTTTGTTAACCATATTTTGAGGTTATATGTGTTCTTGTGGCTTTTCAGGAGTTTGATGGTGCTTTAGATTGCATTAGTCTTGCAGTTACTTGTGCCTTCAATAAACATGGAACACTTTTAGCTGTCGGTTGCAATGATGGGCGTATTGTTTTATGGGATTTCCTGACAAGAGGCATTGCAAAAATTATTTGTGCTCATATTCATCCTGTATGTTCCCTGAGGTAAATTTTTTTGGTACTTTTTCCACTGTATATATCTGTATATTTTGCATTTGAAATATTTTTAGCCTTTCTGTTTCATTTTTTTTTTTTTTTTTTTTTTTTTTCATTACATTATGTTTTGCTTTGCTACTATAATATTAATCATCCATACAGTAGTCCAAATTGATAGTTCTCAAAACTATTGATGTTCCCCAAGCATAAAATCATTAATTTATCTTTTAATTTGAGCAATACATTGCTTATCAGTGTTATGAACCTGTTGGTTCAAAATAAGATGTGTTTCTCAAATTTTGTATCGTGATGTATGACTTTCCCTTAATATAATTGATTTAATTAATGTAAAAAAAATTATATTACATTAAAATGTATGTAGGATTCATAGAATTACTAAACTAAATATCATACTTGCTAAAAGAAAACAGTTATATTTAAAAAAAAAAAAAAAAGATCATAAACAATAGAATTTGAAAAAACTGTTTTAAAACATAGTTTCTGCCATATGTACATATTTTTTTTATCTTAAATGTAACTGTAATTACTTAAGTTAATTAATCATATATTCACAAAGAGCCACTGTCTGAAGTTTTATTTTATAAAATCACTTTTGTCTAAAACTCGTTATATACGTATATATGTCTAAAACTCATTATATATGTATGTATATACGTATATAAGTAACTGCATTTTATATAACATTTCTTTTTCTGTTTTAACAATTGAATTCCACTATTAGTAAATTTTCTAATGCTCATGCAAATCTTCTTTAAATTAATGAAAAATTATCATCAAGATTAAACCTCTGGCTAAATTCTTATATAAGTTGCCTTAAAAGTGGTCATGCATGTTTAGGAAAGCAGCATGAAGCCATTAAAATGCATAGAAGTATTTCATAAAATCAGCTGCATACTGACTCAATTTCTTTCTTAATAAATAATAGTTTTCTTATTTTTTTTAACAAGTGGTTTGCTCTTCATCAATCATTTAAAACTAAGAACTCACTAAATTTTTTAAATTAGGTAAAACAGCAACTTTATACTAATACCAGTACCACTTTTGGCATCAGTTGACACAGAATCAGAGCAGTCAGATCATCTTATGAGATGTGCCAAAGGCCCATTGTCAAAAGATGATAATGCACACTATGCCACCTAGAAGGTGAAAATTACTTTTATAGTTAATGAAAAATAAATGCAAATTTCTTGTGCACCAAAAAATAAAAAGTCACAATAGATTAAAAAAAATTATGTATTCACACCATCATTAAAGGTTAGAAAAGTAAGGCCAGAACCCACAGTACAAGTGTCTAGTATCAACCTCCACACTATGGTGTCTTGTATGGAAAGTTGTTTTTTACACTTCACCTTCAGGAAACTGAATAAGCATCTGCATTATTCTGAAAGTAGCGATAATTTTTTCTGTAAATATTTTTTTAAATACCAGCTCTATTACAACACTGCCCTTGGGGATACTTGAATTCATAATCTTTAACTCTAAAAGCCAACGTTTTATCCATTAGGCAACAGGAGCAATCTTAAATTGATGGAGATTTTAAATAAAATTCAAAATCCCAGATTTTGAAATCCACCACTATTTTCTTGTAACTATCTATTGCTTTAGATTATTGTGTAAAAATTATCAACCATATATCATCTTTGGCTAATAGTTAAGTTTTAGTACTCCTAATAAACTTGAGAATTTTGCTTTACATAATTTGTTAAGATATGATAACACGCCAAACAAATATTAATTTAGAAGTCAAACAACAAAAATCAGCGTTATATTTTCAAATTTTCACAGGGCTAGTTTCGATGGTTTTATCGAACCATCATCCTCAGCTGCAAAAGCGCAAATGAACGAGATCTATAATGATTAGATAAGATTTGAAAGCCTGGACAGGAGAGAAGCTACTTATCTTATCTAATCATTATGTCCTATCTTGTTCATTTGCGCTTTTGCAGCTGAGGATGATGGTTCGGTAAAACCATCGAAACTAGTCCTGTGAAAATTTGAAAATATAACGCTGATTTTTGTTGTTTGACTTCTAAATTAATATTCTGTTAACTTATTCATTTTTAATTATAATTTGAAATTTTTATTAAGATTAGTCCATTTAACTTTATATTTTCCTCAAGAGAAAAATTTTTGAAAGTATATTCATTTAAAAGCTGTGGTGTAAACTGGATATTTGAAGTGAGATATATGAAACTGACATGGCTAGTGGCGAAAAGTTGAAGTTGAGCAGCTCATGTGATTTTCGGTCATCCAGAAAATACTGATTCTGAGATTGCTTCTAATTGGTTACAACTTTTTGCCCGAATGTAGGATTGGCCTTTATTTATAACATTATGCACAATGCCAAATGATAAATGGCAGCATCTATTACTATGATATCTCAACTTGCTTTTCTTAAAATATTGTCTGCATATGACAGAATTTTCTGTACAGTTTATTGTTTGCTTTTGTACAGTAAATATCTGCTCTCATAAATTTGAAAGCCTGGCAAGTAATAGCAATAAAATTTTGCTATGAAGTGAGAAATACACAATGGAGACATTTGAAATGTTGTGTAAGGCACATGGAGATTATACATTAACATGACAAAGAGTTTATCATTGGTAGAGATGATTTTGTAGTTGCTGTGAAGATGTCAATAATGAATTCTTCACAATCTTTAATAATTCTTTCCTTTCCTCTGTGACGCAGTAAATTTAAAATTATCTTATTTAGTAATGAATAGTGATCTGCTTCTGAAACTGAATTAAAGCTATGAAATAAAGATATGTAATTAAAAGCTAAATCATATTGTCTCGTCATTTGGATTCGCCTTACCACTCTGCAAAAGACATGCCTGAACTTTGATGCCAAGCTTTCCCCACAACTGCTAAAATATCACACACACACATATATATATATATATATAAGTATGACTAGAGGTGAAACTTGGTGCTTTGCTTATGGTTCTAAGAGCAAACAGCGGTCATATACTTGCATTGGAAAAATTCTGTTATGGCCACAAAAAACTTCAGTTTCAGAAATCTGAAGACAGTGCTGGAATCTGAAGTAAAGACAGACTTTTTTGACTGGGGGAAGGGGGTAATTCATGAAAAATTGGTTCTTGGGGTACAGACAAAGAACTCCTTATTTTCTAAAGAAGTTATAGGCAGATTTCTGAAAAGAATTTGCCACATTGGGCATAAAAGCTCAATCAGGAAACTGGTTTCTGCATGACAGTGTGCCATTCTCATCAAGTAGTTTCGAGGAAAGAAATTGTCACAAATTTTAACCACCACTCATCTTTATTCATCAGGTTTGTAGATTACTTTCTCTTCCCTAAACTGAAGTGTTTCCTCAAAAGTCGTTATTTTAATAGTATTAAGCTGATTCAGAAATTCATAACCAGAGACTTAAATAGTGTTCTAAATTATGAGTTTTGCAAAGGAATCAAATAGCTGTATGAACATGCCAAGCGTGTGTAGACTTAAGGTCTGTTTAAAGGTAAGTCAGATATTTATATATTTATACAAACATCTTGGCACAATCTGACAACTTTTTACATATGAAAAGGTAAAAATTATTTATTTGATGCTAGGTAATTTTCAGGACTTTTTTAAAAAACATACCAAAACTATCAGTATTTATCATAAGTTGGCAAACATTATCAATATATGAAAAAAAAACACATTTTAAAAATTTTTAATTCAAATTTCAATTATTAAATAAGGATTATATGATACATTAAAAAATAAAGCATTTTGTAAAGCTATTTTTGTAAAATCCTTTTATAATTTTTAGCTCTGTTTTTCTCGCCATGTATGCAACAATCTGTTTTTACTTAAAAATATCAGATAATTTTGCAAACTGATCATTTCGCACAAATTATCTATTAAGTAGATTTCATTGTTGTTTCTTTTAATGATTTTATGGCAAAATGTTGTTTGCTTGCCGAAATAAGAATAGAAATTTTTGAAAATGTGACGGTTTCTATTAAGAGAGTTATGAAAATATCTCTGTGCCGAAGTAAGAAAGTTGAAAAATTTTGTTTTCATATAAACTTAGTCATAAAACATAAAAGCTTTGTGTTTAATGTATGCTATGTTTCTTAATTAATATGTTTATAAGTACTTAAAGTAGTAGTAGTTTAATTCAAAAATATATATGATGGGATATATTAGGTATATGAACTGCAAGATAATCATTTGATTTTGTAAATAGCACATTCATTCCCTTATATTCATTCATGTTATTAAAAATTGTTTCTATGGAATATCCATTTGAAAAATAATCCTCTACTATTTAATATTCAGTTTCATATAAATAAAGTTTTTATGTTGGAATCAATATTTGGAGTTCTTATAAATAGAAAAAGTGCTCATAGTATCAATATGTATAATGTTACTTGAATATCATTGCACTTATGTAATATGCATTTTCTGTAAAGCACTTTGGGATTTTTTTTTTTATTATTAGTTGGAGCAGAAGTGGTCACAAATTATTAAGTGCCTCTACTGATAACAGTGTATCAATTTGGGATGTTCTGAGTGCTGAGTGTGAATCTCGGTATCGGTTTCAATCTCCCATTCTGAAAGTGCAGTTTCACCCACGAAATGAGTAAGAAAGAAATACCATATTCTTATTATTTTAACCCTCTGAGCAGTATGACTGACTGTATCCGGTTATGAGATTTTTTGTCAGTTGTTATATATTAGCTTATAATTTAAGATATTTTGCTTCCTTACTTTCATTAATAATATAAATGTCATCTTGATGGATGCAAGTTTATGAAAATAGAGACTGAAGTAGGTAAATATGCGTATTTAGCTAATAAAGACTCTTTAAATATAGGTCTTCATAGGTCCAAAAACCTGGGCCGCTCAGAGGATTAAGAAATATAATGCGTTCAATTTGCAATATCTAGTTTTGGGGTTGCTTCATTTATTTAAATTCCTCTTTATATATAGAAATGCAGAAAGCTAACTGACACATTTTAAATAATCATAGGTAATAAATAGATTCAAAGAAAAAATAGCAAAACCAAGTATACTGTGCGCAAAAAAAAAAAAAAAAGTGACAGTTCTATATCTCCCGTTCTACTGGTCCAATTGACCAAATTCACGTTTTCCATGTCTCGAAAACGCGACTTAGGATATGAGGTCTTCGTAGGTCCAAAAACCTGGGCCGCTCAGAGGGTTAAGAAATATAATGCATTCAATTTGCAATATCTAGTTTTGGGGTTGCTTCATTTATTTAAATTCCTCTTTATATATAGAAATGCACAAAGCTAACTGACACATTTTAAATAATCATAGGTAATAAATAGATTCAAAGAAAAAATAGCAAAACCAGGTATACTGTAAAAAAAAAAAAAAAAAAAAAAAAAAAAGGGCGACAGTTCTATATCTCCCGTTCTACTGGACCAATTGACCAAATTCAACTTATGTTTTTCATGTCTCGAAAACGCGACTTAGGATATGTATTAGATTTATATATAGCACTGTTCTAATATAGGTATTTTGACACAAAAGCAGACTTTTCATGAAATGACATGCCAATTTTTTTCCCATATTTTGATTCTAAAACTCAAATTATCCCAAACTGCCAAGTTCTGTAAAAATCGCTTGAGTAGTTTTTAAAAAATTAGCTCTCAAAATTTTAGCTCCTCATTGTTAATTCGAAATTTAGGTTCATTCCAAATAAAATTCGCCCATTTTTTATGATTTATTTTTAAAATTTGTATTTTTAAATAGTTTTTATAGATTTTTCGAAAACACTTTTATCTATTTTTTTATTGAAAATTTCATAAGATATATGTGAATTTAAATTTTGGCGTGTTTTGAAATTTGACGTATTTGTTATAAACGATAATAACGAAAATGTGGTTTACTCTTTTGTTAAAATTATTTGAAAGAATGAACAATGACCTTTTGTCCGCTCGTGTGCAATTTAAAGAAGGAAAGGAAAATATGTTGCTATAAATTAAGAAGTTTGCCATGTGAATTATTCTTGACACAAACTGAAAAAAAAAATGCGGCAACACAAATTTTTGAATTTTTTCATAAATTTTGCACCAAATTTTACAAATTAAAGGCACAATTTGAGTCGTAGAATCGAAATATGGGGGGAAAATGGCATATCATTTCAGAAAAAGTCCGTTTTTGTGTCAAAATACCAATATTAAAACAATGCTATATATAAATCTAATATATATATCCTAAGTCACACTTTTGAGACATGAAAAACACAATTTGAATTTCATCAGTCGGCCCTGTAGAACGGGAAATATAGAACTCTCCAATTTTTTTTGTGCAGTGTACGTTTTAATGCAACCACCTTGGTGCAGTGTGGCAATTTTTTAAAGATGAAAAGTTAAAAATAAATTAGTGGGTGCATGTTTCCGGTTTTGCGCCTTTAAAAAAAAATCTTCCAAACTATTGATATTTGTCTTAAGCCCACAAGCATAATCAACTTTTTCAAACGAAACATACTTTATGAATTTAAAATACAAATTTTAATTATTGAATAAGGATTATATGCCACATTAAAGAAAATAAAACACATTTTTCACAAAATTAGATGCAGCTGTTTTTTTCAGCAGCAATCATGTATATAGTAATCTCTTTTTGCTTTAAAATATCAGAGAATTGCAGGAGCTAGGCATTGCACACTGGTTATCTACCAAATACATCTCTTCATCGTCCCCTTTAGCAATTTTTCGTTAAAATATTGTTTTCCTGCCAAAACTTTTACACTGTTTTTCCAAGTGCAAAGTTTTTTAAAATATTGCTTCATATTCCTGAAGCAATATTTTAAAAATTGAGCAAAAAAATATGATTTATCTATAGAAATCATTGGAATTTGAAATAAGTGAAAGAAATGCAGATGAAAATGGCAATGTTGCTTGACTAAAAGACTGTTATGAGCATGGTTGCTAGAAGGATGTTTATGCACATTGTTGCTAGAGTTTGACACATTCTAAAAATTTGGCGTTTTCTACTAAGGTGATTGCATTAATGTGTAAGATCCCCAAACCCTCTATAAATATGTCCATGTATGCTATTTAGTATACTATTGCAAACTTTTTTTTTTAATTACACCTAGCACATAATCTCCATTTAAATCCATCCATTACTGCAAATATGCACAGAAGTTATCATGCATGCACTTCCATAAGTATTCAGTTAAGACTATCTAATTATTGCTGAGGACATTGACATCTTAGCTCTGGGCTTTAGATTTTAGAGCATTCAAAAATCATTCTGCATCTTCTTATAACCATATTTTTTTCTCTTGGGAAAATGAAATACCTTGAATACCTTAAAAAATATCTTGTTTTGAGCTTTCAAACTTTTCTAATACTCCATTGCAAAATGACTTTTTGAAATGAATGCCCATTATGATAAGTTATAGCATTGGCACAATATTCAAATATAAAATGTGCCAATCGGCTGTGCACTACTCTGTGTATGATTAGTATTATAATGCATATAAAAATTTTAAGTATTGTGATGGCTTTTTCATTCACATAACTTTTTTCTTTTCTCGACAACAGAAAAACTGAAAAATAATTAACTTCAAATTTAAATAAAATTCAATCCTGGAATTTCATATTGGTCTTCTCTTCTAAGTTTTAAAATCTGTGACTCCTTTAGGGGGAATATAAAAATTCTCTGATAAATATTAAATTCCGATTTTGTATATTCTTAATTTTTAAAGTGTCTTGAAAATTAAAGTATCTTAATATTTTAGTTTTGAAGAGAAACTGTCTTTAAAATTCAGCTGATTGGTGATCATGATTGACAACTATCTGGATAAATAGTTATTGAATTTTAATCAGCATCAGCAAGTAAAACTTTATTTGCCTGTATTTCATATATGAAAACTTTAAATTCTTGAGTTAAAATCTTGTTTTTAATTCCCAAGTTAAAATCTTGTATAAATTTGCGACCAGTGTCAGAATTGCTTTTGTCATCCTTTTAAGTAAATTCTTGGTAAAATGATTAATTTTAAAATAGTTAATTTTAAATTTGTATCATTTCTGGTCTTTAATTTAAATTATTATTCTCAATTAAATGAGGACATGGTATTAAAATATTATTAACTATTAGTATTTTAATAATTTTAGTTTTGTTTCTATGATCAAATTGTTATAGCTTAAAGATTTAAAATTTAAAATAACTAATTGCTGACACCTAACATGGTTTTTCCAAATATCAGTGTAATTTTCATAAAAGAAATAGCTTTTTTAATATGCTGATTTAAAAATCTGTAATTTTTATAGTACAGTTACTTTTCTGCTAGCAAAGGAAATCCAAAAATGATTTTCATTTTTATAAAGAAAGCTGGAATGCAGAAGTATAAAAATGTGACAGTTTGTAACATAACATAAAATTAAAAGCAGTTTTTTTAATTATTATTATTATTTTAAATTTTGGTATTCTTAAAAGAGTTGTACTACTGTACAACTCTTTTAATATGCCTGATGTATCTTTCAGTAACTTTTTCTTGGTATGCTTGTCTTTATATTCAAGCATTCTTTTTTTATTCAGACCTTTTCCATTAGGCAGAGAATAACAAGTAAAAGCTTTTAAATTTGGTGAAGCATAAATTGGAATATTAGACACTGTAAACTGATGAATATGAATAAAAATACAGAACAGAAGTCTTCCTCCTGTCTGTTCTAGACTTGTGTCTCCAATTATCAGATTTCCAATGGACTTGCTCTCGTTTTAGTTTTGCAAGCTGGAACTTTATTGCACATGTGCTATTTCTATTTATGTGGTGTTTTTAGCATAGTGTTAATTCATTTTTTGTCATTTTAGGTTTTAAGAGATTTTTTATTAATGTGGAAATGTTGAAAGCTATACCATATAAATTAATGATAATTGTCATATTTGTTAGCTATCCCTTTCACATTTTCTTGGTGATACTTTTTTTTAACAAGATAGAAGACATCAAAAGTAAACAAAGACAGCTCAGAAAAGTCAAATTTACTTAAGAACTGAATGCTTTATAAATGATAAAAATTAAAAGTGTCTATAAAATTTTCTTTTTTACTACTGCATTAGCTTTATCTGCAAAAATGAAATTCTAAAAATTATTTCTTAAAACAACTATTTTAGTGAAAAATACAATCCTATTTACACCAGAGCTGTTGGAAGAACTTTCTCTTTTCAAATGTTTATGCAATAGGAACTCTGCTAAACAGGTATCCAAATGCTTTTTTGTAGTATTTTTTTTTTTTTTTTTTTTTTTTTTTTTTTTTTTGTCTTTTGGCATAGGTCCTCCCATAATCTTTCAGTGTTCTGAGCATGCATCTTTGAATCTGGATCAATGAAATTATATTTGTGACTTTTTCAATTTGATGAGCATAAAATATCCTTTCCAAGAACCTGTGAATATTCTAGGCCATGTTGTTTGATTAAAGTTTTTGCTATTGTGTTTTCAGTCAAGTGGGAATAAGATACAGATAAATTTAATCAAAATGTCACTTGCAATATTTTGTCACCAAAATTCTTAAAATGTCCAAAAAAAATGTAAAAAAAAACTATTGTCATGAAGAGCTCAGGATGGGTGAAAAGTAAAGCAGGGTAAATCTGCACATATTGTGAAAATTGTAAAATATATGCTCTTAATTACTGATTTTCATTCATTAGTTTTCTACTCCAGTCTTTCACAGTTTTAAGAATGCTCTATGTTGTAAATGAAGTTTAATACCTTTTTTTCATGTGCCTTTTTAACATATATGTATATATATATATATATATATATATATATATTAATATGCCCAATGTATCTTTCAGTAAACTTTTCTTGGTTTGCCCTATGAAACATGCTGCAATATTGGTACCTGTGGATGGTACACACTCTGTTGTACCTCTTGATGATGAAGTAAGCTTTCTACTCTAGCTGCTTGTTTTAAATATAATATTTTTTTTTAATGTTTGATTTTATTGATAGGTTTTCATGGATTCATATAAAATGATTTAATGTCCTTTTTCCCACAAAATAAATGATGGTATATTGGAATGGGTTCATGAATCATGTGTTTAAATAATCATTCTGGATAAGCTGGAGAAAATTCATAGGTGATTGTAATTAAAAATAATAATATGCAACAAAATAAATAGCTGTAAAAAGGAGAATACAAGAATAAGCAAATCCTTCTTAAAAAAGTGTCATAGATTGCCAATATTACTCATAGAATAAGCTATAAAAGGCATTTCAGTTAACTCTCTTTGAATCCTATTTTCTGTGAAGTTATTCAGAACTGAGTAACGGAATAACTGAGTACTGGTTTTCCAGAACTGTATTTATATTGTGTTACACAGGCTTCTGGAAACATTGGAAGAAATCATTGTTAGAGCTTTGAAAATGCAATTTCCCAAACTTTCCCGAAATAAGTTGGCAAAAAATCACCAAATGCCACCAAGTTGATGACAATAATTACTGCTAAAGTTCGTCAGGAGGGTTTCTGCCTGTATCTTAGGTTCTGTTTCAGATATATTTACTATTTAAGCATTTTTGATATGGAATCTCAAAATTACATTTCTACACAAGAAATAAGCACTTTATAAAATACATAGCCAAAAATTCACTTACACAAAAATACAGTCTTAAAATTATTGCACTAAATGCAGAAATTAAGCAAAAAAAAAATGAATAAAAATTAGCACACTGAAATGGTCTCCAATATTTACAGAAATTTATTTAAATATATTTATGTTTTCAGAAATGAAATATCAGTTAAAAAATATGTCATTTTCTGTTAACTGGGTGCTATTTAGCACCAAACATAAATGTTGATGCTAAATCTGACCAGATATCAAATACTCTAACAATACATAAAACTTCATGGAAAAAAATTGTAATAAAAGTAATGTATCATATTAACATACATAATGTTTAATGAACAAGGTGACGAATTTGTGCAGTTCCCTGATTTTTTTTTAAAGCAAAAACAGATTGTTGTGTACATAGAGAGTATAATAGTTCTTTCCATGTACACATAAATATGTCTTTGCTTAAAAAAGGGTCAGAGAATTGCACAAATTCAGCATCCCACACAACCTTTGCATCATGCTTATTAAACTTTGCAAAATTGCTCATTGTAGTTAGTATAGTGTAATACAAACAGGCTATTGTATTTTTTAGCTTGTAGTAGAAAGGTATCATCAGAAGAATGGAAAATTTCTCATAAGTGCTTAAGGTTTTTGAATTAATTCAGTTGTTTAATGCTTTAGATTGCAAAAATTTTGTACAGAAAATATTCATTTTTTTATCATTTGTAAAATTTGAATAGTCGTCTTTCTTAAGCACCATTTAACAAATGCCTTATAAGTTCATTGTTAAGTTTCATCTCATGATGGTTTTCACAGAGCTTGGTGTGGTATAGAATATCAACTTGAACAGAACAATGAAATTTTTGTGCAATAGCAAAATGAAAATTGTTAATATGTTTACAAATGATATATATATATTTTTTTAAAAAGCAAATGAAATATCACTATAATAAAGAACTGAGTATGAGAAGCTAACATATGAAAGACAAGATGAACCCATTGTGAAAGAGTGAGATCTCATATTCAAGGCCATTTAGGTGATCAGTGCAGGCAATATATATTGTAACATCTTAAGCTATTTTATCGACCACCACGAAATTCTGAGAAAAAGAATGGCCACCTCGAAAGTTCCCATGGATAGAGTATTTCTTAACGAATTCTCGGAAGATGAAGTGACCAGCAGTCACAAAACAATCTCAAGTTTTTGTTCCTCGTATAGTTGTTTGAAGGGAGACATTGTTCCTTCCCCTTTCATCGGTTTGTAGATGCAGTGTCTCAGACCACCTGGTTTGAGTTCCCAGATGGAACCAGAAAGTTCTCATGGACTATTTCCCAGGCTGTCTTCCATCATATCCAGTTTTTAATCAAAGTGCTCTCGCCGATCAAGAGGCGCTTCTAAAAATTACGGACAAATGAGGATCCTGAATTTTTTTCCGACACACCCAGGACAACTTGAATGAAATCATGGAATGCAGTTCCAGGGAAGAAAGCGAGTGAGAGTGAGTTATAATAGAGTATATAGAGAGAAACCTTCTCTCGTGGTTTCTAGCTCTACCAGGAGAAAATTTTGTATCGCTCTGGATAGAGCGATATTAGCATCTCTGCCAAGAGATTACAGCAAGGTAGCCGGGTTTGCCTCTACCTTACGGAGGAGCACCCTGCTCGGTATCAGTTCAGTACGACAAGCACCAGCTTAGAGAATTGATAATTCTAAGCAGCCTCATCTTGAACTATTTCTAAACAAGAACTTTCATCTTGGCGCAGTTCTAAGCATAAACTTTATTCACATCGTCTGGATGTGGTTATAGTTCTTTTTCCCCTCGTCCTACTGTGAGAACAATATTTTATAAGTTTAATTATTTTTATTTGTTTTGCATATAGCCTAGAAAGAACCCAAATAAATTTATTTACGCTACCTCTTGCCTTTTGAATTCGTCACAATATATAATAATTACTTTAAAGATTCATGAGTACCTTTTTTTCTTTTTAGTCACATGCCTTTTACCACCCAGAGGTGAAGTGGCTAGTGCATCGCGCAGCTGCACTGCAGGTGCAGGATTCGATCCCCAAGCTGGGTAAGGTTAAATCAGCCTTTCATCCCTTGAATAGGTCAATAAAATGAGTACTAAGTTCGCTTTGGGACTAAGCACCGGGGGTCCTGTGACAAGCTGACCACTTGCCCAGGGCATATGCTAATGCACTCCAAGGCACAAAGGTCAAGAAAGCAGAAAAAGGGTACTGAAGACCATAGCCCAATAGGGCTGTTGCGCCTCTGAGTTTAGCTTTCCCCCCCCCACATGCCTTTTGCTATATTGTTATCTTTGAATCATAAAAACACTTGAATTGTATTATTCGAATTAAGGTATTTTCTCCCTCCTTCCAGCATGCCTTCGTGATGTAATGGTTAGCACACTCGGCGCGTATTCGAGAATTTCAGGTTAGAGTCCCACCGAGGGCATTGCTCATTTTTCGCATCTCCTGCTTTCAAAATAACCTAACGACTCTACAAACTAAGCACATGAGTAAATGTAGCATAGCACATGAGAATCTTTAAGATATTTTCTCCATAACGACAGTGTAAGAACTTTCCAATTCCATGTTATCAAAATTAGGAAGGAGTTTGGTAGGACTTTGTTGTAAACTTTATCTCAGTTTTCATGAAGAGTACCCCAGGAAATAGAATCTTGGGATCTTGTATATATCATTTTCTGAGAGTATTTGGATCACAAATAATATTTAGATCAATGGATTTTAAATGTATCCAATTCACAACGGTACTGTAGTCAGAAATGTTAGTGTTATGCAAAATTCAAACCTGAATTCAGCAACATGGCAGTCACCTTTCGCAGATCACATATTCTAGAGTATGTGATCTGCGATCTTCAGAGTATGGTTTTATACTAAGAAGAAATTTTAAGAAATATATATTTGTATGTTGAAAAAATAAGGTAATTTAAAAATGGCAACTTGCCACTTTGTTTAGCAAAAGAAGAATTAAATGTATCCCATTTAAAAAAGTACCTCTAAAATTTCCTGATGCTTCTCCTATGAACTCTTATGTGTTCGGGAAGAGAGGGATGCCCGAAACACGATTTCACACTTTTCACAATACTATCTCCTCCCAAAAAAAAGTTTTTTTTTTTTTTTTTTTTTTTTTTATGAGCATTAGGAAAACGACATTCAAGAACTCTGAACAGACTTTGGAAAATGGCCCAAGAGGAGTGAGAAAAAGTTGACATGGCAGTGTTTAGTTTCATGAAAAATTTGAACTAGATTTAAAGCTAAAAATCAAGAAAGAAATAGCCACAAGAAAAGCTGCTTTTGTTCCTAAAAATGAACTATCAGAATTGTTTCCATAAAGTGTGTACTGTGTTACAGTATACTTTTAACAACATTTGGATAACAGTTGGAATATTTTGAGAAATTATCTACCCTTAGTTCTTGTAGTTTCTTCATTATATATTAGCTTCACTCTCTGAAAATTTTTACCCTTTTAGTGTAAATTTAAGTTATGAATAAAGAAGGAAACCTGCCAAGCCAAGATTGAGAAAATATGTAGAATAGTACCTTCTAATTAATAAGGAGCATTGAAATTATGAATTTGAAACAGACATTCATACTGACTCTGTGGTCCATTGTGCACTGCATCAACAACATGTATTAAAACCTGCCATATGAAAGAATGCTAACCAAGAAATGTTAAGACAGTGTATTGGCTATGATGCAGAAGAACGCCTTCCGTATGCAACGTCAAGTAAGACTGTTGTTGTTATTAAATGGAGTGTTAAATTCCTCCTAATTTCCGGTCACACCTTATATTTTTAGACTTGTCATTTCTAGTTGCAGTTAGATTTTTTATCAACTTTTACATGTTTTACCAAGTGGCATCCCATTTACCAGAAATTATCAAAATGTCTATAATTGAAAGTTCATAGAATTTTTAAGCAGACTTTCATTAACTTATTTTTCTTTTACAGTCAGATTTAAATATTGTGGCATCTTTTGATCGAAAAGGTAATCACGTCTACACAGGCAATGCTAAAGGAAAGGTAAAATTCAATTAAAAATATACTGATAACATTGTGAACATGTATCACAAATTTTCTAAAAGTAGTTTTATTTTCTAATTTCAGATTTTAGCATTATCTGTACCTGATTTAAAACTTAAAGCTTCTTTCAGAGTAACAACTGGAACATCAAATACAACCTCTATCAAATCTATAGAATTTGCTAGGCGAGGAAAGTGAGTTTCAGTTTATTTATTTACTTTAATTTTGTTTTCAGTGTGTATTAATATAGAAAAACTAATTTTTACTGATAATTGCATTGCAGACTTTCTTTATTTTTCAATTTTTTTTTAACTTTAAAAATTGAAATTAACACTTATTTCATGAACAAATGCCCTATTTATAGAAGCATTCATTCTGTAGCTGAAGCACATGATGTATGACTTTAAAAACATCTTTTATTAATTATCCTGCTAACATAAATAAAAATTATCTGCATAATACATAATATAATAGTACTTTAAATAATATTTATGAATACTGTAGAGGACATTTATATAAATTTTTAGTTCTGTGTTGTTTTTAAATAGCTTATATTTTTTATACAGATAAGCAGCATGCTGCTATAAACTGAAAGATTAAAAATAATAATGATTTAAAGTTGCAATTTATTAAGAAGCATACATGTTGGTTTTAAATTTTTCAATAAATTATTGTGCTAAATAAAAAGCAAAAGCAAATCTACAGTCGATAGTTTTGATACAATTTTGAGATAAATTAAAATTTTATAACCAGGAATGTGACAACAGTTCGTGAAAGTGGAGTTTTAATGCTGTGAAAACATAATGTGACTTGCCTCACAGAAAAATAGGGGAAAATTAAAATATAGATGGTTCTAATATCAAAAAGGAATTTCTTGTTTAATTTAGTTAACTTCAGTGTGAAATTCAGTATTTTTCTGACAAAGAATGTAAATACTATTTTTATATCCTTTTTGAAATACATGTTAGCAAAATAAATTGTAAACAAATTCCAGCCTATTTCCATTAAAAAAAAAATTGGATCTCTAATTGTTGTTGCTGCACAGGATATAAAATAGCATTGTCAAAGTAGGTAGCATTCAAAATGTGTGATCTTTACTGCAGTTTGATGGTGAGTTTGTGATTAAAACATACCTAACAAATGTATTTGACTTTAATTTCCTCTTATTAAATATCTTTTCATATATGAATTAAATATTTTTCAAAATATGTGCAGTTTTTAATCTCTGTGTATCTTATGGCATAGTCGAGCCTTATTGGATCAATGTTTTTTAAAAGTATTTTTTTAAAATTAGTGTGAAGGTTTTTGTTTTTTCACATATATCTTTGTATCCGAATTCTATTAGGTAGTCTGTTGTGTATCATTAAAAATGAGAAAAAAAAAACTTGATTCACAATTTCATGTGAAATTAAAATTTTATGAAACATATTCCCAGCAGCAACATATTCCCTAGAACTAATAGATGTAGTGTGTAGCTTCCTATATTTTGGATACTAGTCATGAAGTTGCAGTAACATTCATCATTTTTGTAAAAATAATTTGTTTTTATGAAAAAATGGCTTTTTAAACAGAAAATGTATTGTTTTATAGGGCAAAATTAAAATTATTAGCTATTACAGAACAGACTATTTAACTATTAGAAAATTATTAACAATTTAAACTAAAGAAACTAAAGAAAGTTATTAACTATTTAACTATTAGAAAAATAAAGTGGAATAATTTTGAATGTACTATAACTATTTTTATGATTACTAACTACAGTACAGTACCTATATCAACAGGGTTGCCACACTACCTGGAAAACCGGGAAAGGTCAGGAAACTTGAAAACTGACCAAAAAAATCAGGAAATTTAAATATTTTAATCAAAAATCTGAAAAAGTCAGGGAATTTCATACTGCGATCCCCAAAAAAGTGTTTTTTGCGCCAACATCGGAATCGATCAGTTTCGTGATGGATCATGTATTGCATGAGCGTCATTCAGACAGCTGCTGTAAAGCCAGTTTTCACAGTCCCAATCAGATTATCTTTACGAAAGGCAAAGCAAGTTTCCAGTAACCTCGAGAATCCAGAGATTCGCATGTGCAGTGCATATTGAACGAAAGTAAATTCTGCCCATTCTGATATAAAACAAAATTGTTTAAAGCTTTTCTTCTTTCTTAAATGCCTTATTTGTCATTTTGAAGTAAAATTAAAAAAAAAAAAAAAAAAAAAAAAACAGTCATCTAGGCTAACCATTTAATATATGTATATTAGCCAAAAATACTGTCAATTTTTGTAATTCAGTTTTCCATCCCTAAGTAATTTATTTTAATGTTATTCATATTGTATAATGTGTCTTCTTCCTTCTAAATTTATTTATTATTAGTTAATAATACTTTCAAATTTCAGGCAATTTTCTTTGGCATACTTGTGAAACTAATTCTAACAGTAATATGACATACCATCGTGAAATTTAGTGCATATATATTTTACTTATGTATGCTACTAAATAAATGTAAAATACTTGAATTTATTTAAAAATATCATTAAATAAATTTCTTTCTTCCTTTAGCTGTAAAATGTCTGCAGAAAAGACATTTTTAAATCCCAATTGGGTAGATTCTAATCTCAATCCTCAGTGGAGAAGACAACTTTTATAGTTATAAAAGTAATGCTTTGGGGATTTTATATATATATATATATATATACATATGTAATTGTCAATTTTTTGTGTTTTCAAGTGGTACCATAATTAATTGACCCTCAGCACAGCCAATGCCTCAGATAGCCTGAAATTTTCTTAAAAAACACCTGAAAGAGTCAGGGAATTTCGTACTCCTGTTTAAGTGGCAACCCTGTATCAAGTTTTAAAAAAATGGAATTTAAATACTGTGAGCAAAAATTTTTTTATAATGGTCAAGGATATAACATAGATGTATAATTTAGAGCAGTTAAGACATTTTATCAAAGCCCACCAGCGGCCGAGTAGTAAAGTTGCCGAACACTGTTAGTTCAGGCCGAGGTTCGAAACCCAAGAACAGGTTGGCTACCTGGATGTTCTTGTGCTTTTTCTCATGTGTAATGTGTATACGAGCCAGTTTCCATTAGGAAGTCCTCCGCGAAGCCATTCCTTCCCTTAGGTAGATAGCCCTCGAGGCTTTGCTATAATCACATAAACCAAACCAAAGCCATTTTATCATCCGACCCAAAAAGAGCCATTTTATCAACTGGTGCTAAATAAAGCATTATTACTTCCTGATGTAAATGAACTTATATGAGAAAAACTAGTGGCTATTTCAAGTGTAGATTGTTTGCTTGTTGCCTTCATGAAGGAATTTTTAAAGGAAAGTGGCTCATATTTGTGACAGGGGGTGTTACAATAGCGAAAACGACAAAAACACTGTGTAGCCCTAATCTATTTATTAAAAACAGAACTCAAGATGAACTACCAGCATTCAGCAATTTTGACCATTTACAGCTTGTAGAGTATTATTTTCTACTATAAAACTTACTTTAAAAGGGGGTATAACAGATCACCAACAGCAAATGGTATATTAAAAATTCAGCCATGCATGAAGAATTTAAAATATTGCAAATTAAAACATTTATGGCCAGAATAGGGAAGTTCTGTAGAAATATCCACAAAGGGGAAAATAGCAGTATATCAGAGTTAACCTATGATTGATTATAATAATTTAAATAATGCCAGAAGACCTGGTGCATTATTAAAAGCACTAAACTAAATTTTGTTAGTTGATTAGGATTTAATCTAAATAAATTAATATGTTTGCACAGCTGGACTTCAAATCTAATGGTTAACACATCTTTTATTGATTCTAATGTTAAATTGAATTAATACTCATTACTTATATGTATGCAATAGTAACCCCTCCCCCTTTTTTTTGGCTCAACCAATTTACAAGTGTATGGCTCTGAAACCCCTCCCCTTCCAGCATGCCTGCCATGCATGCCAATGCACTTTCTCTTCTCTACTTACTCTGCCTACACAGCTTTTTTGAAGCAGATAACCAAGCTCCCTGAAAAACTGGCTCTACTGTTACAGTAGCTCATCCGACTTTCCATGGAAAGTATGCAAAATGGAATTTTCTCTTTTCACTGTATCTACTTACGGATACATCTACTCATCTTTGACTCTCAAGACAAATACTTGCTATCAGCTTATCCTCACCAACTTCTTTATGAATATATTTAGTATCACCTACAAAATTATGAATTGACAGTTACAATGCCATAAATTATGTTATGCCCACAAAAGATATGCACAACTTCTACATATTACACACATGGTAGGGCAATGCCCAGGAACCTGCATCGTGAGTCACCTAATGAAAATAAGTATCATATTTAAATTCATTCCTATGAAGGAAAAGCATCCCCCTCTCCCCGAAAAAAGTTTATCAGTAAAAGAAAGATTTTTTTTTCCTCTTTAATACAGAGTCCTTTAATTGTTTCTTAAGGGAGAAAAATTAATGTTACATTCAGCCTTTATAAAAATAAAAAAGGATAAAATTAAATATGTGATAGTAATTGATGCATTGTAGATTTGTTTTCTGTTTATTTTTGTAGCTACTTTTTGGTAAATGCTGCAGATAGAATTATAAGAGTTTATGCAAGTCATGAAGTTCTCACATGTGGTAAAGATGGCGAACCAGAACCAATGCAAAAATTACAAGATCTGGTTAATAAGTAAGATATTTATGTTGCTGTTTAATTTATTAATTCTTTCTGGCACATCTAAAAAATTCTTTCTGTACACACAGAAAAATTGAATGGAAAAGATTTTATAAGTTACTTTTGATCTTCTTTATTTATGCTAGATGGCAGCACAACACAAACCAGTCCATACATTTTAACTATGTTTAGTTTTTAAAAACCCTCATTTTTCAAAGAAATCTCCCCCTTTTTTAGGGGGATATAAAAGGAAGTGTTTGAAAAGAAATGTTTATGTTATTTTCTTGGCTGTATGATCATATCTTTATTCTATATTAGCTTTAAATTTTTACCTTGAAATCTTTCCCAAAATTGAACAATGAACATCTGGTGTATCCAGAATGGAATCGCTGAAACAACAAGACAAAACCAACAATTGTATCTTTATTTCACTGTAGTATTTTCTTTGGTGAGCTCATTTTTAATACAAAGGTATGTGCACAACTGTGTTTTATTTCCTTTCCATCTGTGTTTTATTTATTTTATTTTATTATATATATATGTGTCATAATAAAAGCAAAGGAAAATACAGAACACTGTAGATGCGTGATTAGACCCATACTGAAGAAGAATTTGATTGTGTAGTATTTAAAGAACTTGGCAGTCGAGGCAGTTTTAATTCCATTTTTATTTCCAATTGATATTTGTGGCCACAATCACTTGGCACTCTAGTCGTGCCTTTCCACAGAAGATTTACATTTTTGATATTGTTGGGATAGAAAGCAAGCCAGAGAAATCACATCTTAGCACAGTAGCGAGCAAAAGCTGAAGTGCGTCGTTATGAAAGATGGAAGCACGCGAAGAGAAAAGTTTCGGTTTGCAATTTGGTGATTGGTCGAGAGGGATCTGCATTATGGGTTAAGTAAGATCGCATGATTAATTTGAATGACGCAATGCAGATAAGTTATTACGATTTTAGAATAGAGAGGAAGAATTAATGTTTATAGTTATATTATAATTCTGATTCATACATTTTTATCTTACATATTCCCCTCCTTCAAAAAGAAAAAGGTGTAGCGACAGAGAAGCCTTTTTATAGAGAAAGAGTTAAAGCACTAGCAAATGTTTAAAAAAAAAAAAAAAAAAATTTAAGTATAATTTATAAATAGCAATTTTTTTAAATAAATTTTTAATTTTTAGAGTCCTATTGAATTTTTCACCATTTCAGCCCAAAAGTCTTTTTGTTTGAGAGTTCACATAATCATAATTCTTCAGGGAAGGTTCTTGTTATTACAGAATATCACAAAATAAACTTTTACATAATCATTACTTATAATTAAATGTAATTCACAAAAATATTTATGATACTTATTTCTATACTGATAAATTATAATTTAACATCAGATTTTCAGAATTTATGGTTTCACCGTTATCATCTTTCATTTACAATTCCTTTATTTTTCCATACTGGAAGCCTCGCAATACTTCTAAACAAACATATCCATCAATAGGGCTGTCCTCTTGAGCTAACCAGTGTGTTCTCTGCACTGGTGGCCCAGGGTGCCTAGGCAGTTACTTGAAAAGACCTCCGTTCCTTGCATTAAGATAACTGGCCTTTGAGAACTGCACTAATACATTCCATAATAAAAAAATATAATAATAATAATAATAATAATATAAAAAATTTACATGCATTCATAAAATGAGAGCCTCCAACATTATCTTGCATGAAGAGGGTAAAAGGAACAACTGTACAGAGGTAATTACAGGCCTCTGTTGAAAGAACTAGTACACCCTCAGCATACTATACTTAACACACAATAACCCATAAATTTTAACATGCATTTACCATAATTTCATATTACTTATCTGTACTAATTTCACTTATTTTTTACACCTTTATTTTTTAAAATAACTATAAAATTCGCATTCAAAATTCTCAACAAAATTTCAAAAACATGAAAACTTATCTTAATATCCTTCCCTATGAATAATTTAAATAGCTTAAAATTCGTTACTTAATTTGCTCACACATAATTATGAAAATTTACAAAAATTAATGAACAAGAATTTCAGATTTTCCCAAAACAAATTGCAGAAATTTTAACGGAAGTTGAAAATATAAACTATAGAATTCGCAACATATTAAATAATTTAGTTCCTGAGCTAAATTCACACGAATGTAATACATTTTGAGCTGTTGAAAAAGCGGAAGTGCAAATAATTTTCTGTCGTACATACTTGCAAACACTAACTCAGATTGACATTGAACTCGCTGTAATGCTGAATTCCTAAACGGTAATACACTGATGATTTAAAGCACTTTTTTTTCTAAATATTGTAGACATCGGCGAAGCAAGTTCAATATTCCTTTTTACTAGGCATTCGAACTTCTCAATCTATCGAGAGATTACTTTCAATCTGTAAACACTACGCGTGATTATTTATTGAAGCACTTGCAAAACACCACAGCAGAAGAATGATCTGTTATTTTTTAAGCAATGAAAAAACAAACTTGATGATTCACTTCTTTCACATTATCTTGGAGTTATCACAAAACGATGATTTGAAGAGCTGAATTAAATTTTCCATTGAGGTTTCAGGCTGCAGGAAACTATCCTTACCGGCTTAATTGTCATAATAAAAGAAAAAGGAAAGGACGGAACACTGTAGATACGTGATTAGACCCATACTGAAGAAGAATTTGATTGCGTAGTATGCTAGTAATGCTAACTTGGTAATAACTAAAGAACTTGGCAGTCGAGGCAGCTTTAATTCCATTTTTATTTCCAATTGATATTTGTGGCCACAATCACTTGGCACTCTAGTCGTGCCTTTCCACGGGAGATTTACATTTTTGATATTGTTGGGATAGAAAGCAAGCCAGCGAAATTACATCTTAGCAGAGTAGAGGCCAAAAGCTGAAGTGCGTAGTTATGCAAGATGGAGGCACGCGAAGAGAAAAGTTTTGGTTTACAAAGACAGTTTCAGTTCCCAATGATTACGTCATCAGAGCTGCGCCGATCATAGAGTGATCTAGAAATGACGCAATGCAAAGAAGTTATTACGATTTTAGAATAGAGAGGAAGAATTAATGTTTATAGTTTAATCTATAATTTTGATTCATATATTTTTATCTTACATATTCCCCCGTTCAAAAAGAAAAAGGCGTAGCGACAGAGAAGCCTTTTTAAAGAAAAAGAGTTAAAGCACAAGCAAATTAAAAAAATATAAATAAATAATAAAATTTTGATCCTGTAAAATATAATTTATAAATATCATTTTTTTTTACATATTTATTATGTTATAGTTTTAAATTTGTCATATATTGTATATCTATTTATAACTCATTGTTTTAATGTTCAAAATTTCATATGCTATAAAGTCAAAATTTTATATGAGAAAGTCATGAACTATGATAGGCCATAGTTAAAGCTTGTACGCTATGTTCTGGATGTTTTCATGTCTTTTCTCATACTTTTGCTTCACTCCTGTACTAATGCTTTTCTCACCCCGGCCTCTCTTTTTGACGGGGGGGGGGAAGATGTAAAAAAAAAAATACGATGGCTTTGCTCTTTGCGAACCAGCAACCTTTAATTAATTTTCTGCAATTCAGGATCGTCCCCTAACCCAGTACCTGCTAGAACATTCACGCCTATTACATAACCTCCTCATATAAATGCTGCGTCATAAGTTTTTCTACATTTTTCTAGAAGCTACTCTGTTACATAACCATTCATATAAATGCTGAGTCATAAGTTCTCCTAGACAGATGCCTTCTCGCCTTCGTCCTGCTAACGCTTCCGCTATGCTCCTCTTTCTTTGTTAGAACGTTATGATGTATTAAAGTTTAAAGTCAGTCGTATCTAATAGTTCAATTACTGAATAAGTTATTTGATTAACTTCATCTGGAAAAAGTCATCTGCTATAAATTAAAAATAAGATATGCTTGCTGTTAAAAGTGAAAAGTCCTGAGTCGTCATTTTTCTCCGTGTTTCAATCACCCCAGCTTCGTTAACCATCTGCCAGAACGTGTAATGGAATAGCCTCACCATTCGCCCACGATGTGTTGGAATAACTGAAAACATTACAGTTATTAATTAGCCGGCAGGATTTATCCTCTACGTGGGAAAAAAGCTCCTGGATTTATTTACAACGCGCTTCTAAATTCAACAGTGGGTCAAGGACAGTGTGTGATCGTCTTATGCTTTTGCTTCTTTTCCGGCGATTGCTTAAGTTTTTTACCTTTTACTCGGCTCCAAAGTTATGCGTTTTATCAAGTGCTTCTAAAGTGATTGATTTTAGTGTTCAAATTGATGTGTATGCGAACTCTTAAATTCAAGATTTTGTGATTGGAATGTTAACACGCTCAAAAACGGCAAAAATGTCAACTGATAAGAAAGAATCCGTAGCTATTGTGGATACAATAAAATTCCAATTTCCCTATTTTTGATGGCACAAGTACAAATTTTCCAATAGACAAATATCTTCTATTGTTTGAAGAGAAATGTGCCGCAAAGAACATTCCAGAAAAGGAAAAGAAATTTGTTTTCTCAGAGTGTATTAGAGGAGAGGCTTTAGCCCTCTATTTACGTGATTGTTTAGATAAAGACTGGGACAACATAAAGGCTATTTTTCGAGACATACTTCACAACATCGGAATCTGTTACTTTTAGTGATTTTGTGTCTTTAAAATACGAGAAATTTAATAATATTGATGTTTATTTTCGTAATAAGTTGAAATTAGGAGCCAGCTTGAAACTAACAGATTCCACAATGGTGGAAGCACTTACGGAAGGACTTCCTGAGTCTCAAAGAATGCTGTTAACAGTGCAAAAAATAGACACACCGAAAGACTGGATTACTCTTGCTAGGAAACTGTTTCCAGTTCAGATGCCGTTGGATGGTCTAGGAAAATAGTAATTACCAATTTGTTTCTCCAAGGCAAACTGTTCCGAGGTGCTATTATCCCAGACCAGTGCAAGCCACTCCTTATCAAAGTTTTCGTAGTGTGAGACCTTTTAATTATCAACAAGTGCAATACCGACCTCTACAGTATGCGTATCGGCCAATTCGATATCCACAATTACCTGCTATTAATTATAACACGGTTCCTAAAAGAGAAGTTAAAAAATGATATTACTTTAAAGTGAATGTCCAAATTGGACAGGAAAAAATTCCCAGTATTATTGATACGGGATCGCAAATTAACGTTTTACCGTTAAAATATTTTAACAAAATTGGTGATAAATTTAGAGAAATTTCATTGAAATCTCATGATAAAATATTTTCAATATCTAGTCAAGTTCATATAGAGAAAATAATCAAAGTAAAGTGTAAAGTAGGTAAAATAGAAAATAATGTGATATTTTATGTAGTAGATTCAAATTTGAATTATTTATTGCTTTCATCACCATGTGTTTCATTATTTAAATTACAATTGAATTTTCATAATTATGAAGTGTATCAGCTTGGAAAACAGGTAAGTAAAAATGTTAAAGTAGACAAGTTTTTCCAAAATAATTATGTATGTAAAAATGATATCAGTGCTGAACAATCTAGTAAATATTTTGATAATAGCGAAAATTTTGTATGTAAAAATGATCTTAGTTCTAAAAATTGTGGTAATTATTTTGAAAATAGTAAAAATTCTGATAGTAAATTACAGAAATTGTTGAATGATTATAACCATATATTTGCAAAAAGTAAATATGATGTTGGTTGTATAAGGGTTGAACCTCCCAGAGTTATATTAACTTCTGAATTACCAATAGCCTATAGACCATATAGAGCATCTCCTAAAGATAATAGTGAAATTAAAAAACAAATAGATGAATTGTTAAAAGCTGGAATTATTAAACCTTCTTATAGTCCTTATGCTGCTCCTGTAACTTTAGCTTATAAGCGAGACGAGCAGTCCAGAAGCAGATTGTGTATTGATTTCAGGAAGCTTAACCAAATTACTAAAACTGATTCTGAACCTATTCCTAGAATTGATGCTGTATTAGATCAATTAACAAATGCAAAAATCTTTTCTACATTGGATTTGGCATCAGGCTATTGGCATATAAAATTAAATGAAAAGGATACTGAAAAATTGGCATTCACTACAAATTTTGGACTGTATGAGTTTACTAGATTACCTTTTGGTTGGAAAAATTCCCCAGCTGTTTTTCCAACGAGCTCTTAGACAAATTTTAAACAAATATCAGATTCAATTTGCTTTAAATTATTTTGATGATATTATAGTATTCTCTCTCTCCAAATTTTGATGAACATTTAAATCATCTTAAAATAATATTTGATATATGTGAGAAAGAGAATATAAAATTAAAACAATCTAAATGTAATTTTGCTAAAGAAAAAATAAATTTTCTAGGATATGAAATTCAAGCAGGTAAATACCAGCCCAGTAATGCAAATATAGAGGTTATTAAGAAATTGCAACCCCCTAAAAATATCAAAGAATTACAAAGATTTTTAGGAAGAAGAATTAATGTTTATAGTTATATTATAATTCTGATTCATACATTTTTGTTGTATGATCTTAAATCCATTTAGTGCGAAAACAAGTTATTACTACTTGCGCAATTGCTGCAAAGTTAGTTAATAATAATTTATTTCCTAAACAGTATTGATTTAATTGATTATATTATCTCCTAAGTTTAATTAGAATTATATATATATATTGAGGGGGAGGTTTGCTTATCAACTAAGAAATTGTTGGGTATGAAATTAAAATTGTTTTTCTGAAGGTAAGGGGTAATTTTATCAGTAAGCTTATTGTTGTTTTCTTCACTTGTTGATTTTTTCACTTGAGTCATTCTCTTTTCTTTTCTTTCGCTGTTGTTGAAAGAAGTTTTATTAGCACTGTGTTTTGATAGTCTTGAGATGTAGATGTTTATTTTATAGTTTATATTTTCTTAATTGTAGATATAAGTTTATTTTTTTCTGATTTTTAATTATTTTGCAAATGGATGGGAGAGGACTGGCCATTTCTGAAGCACTGAAATTGCTAAACGAATTGCCTTCAGATTGTGAATCTGATACAGATCCCGGTGAATGTGCATTGCATGCAATGTTGGGTTATGTTTCAAAGGTGGTGTCACTTCGAAAAATACTACCATAAAAAAAATAAATGAAAGCGTAAATATGAAATCTAAATAATGTAAATATCATGTAGCCAAGTTACCTTTTTTTCACTTATATACATGTAATCATCATATAACCAAGAAGAGTTTTTTGAAGGGGTGTAGAGTAGCAGGCCTCCCTGTAGTGCACCTGGGTGATGCTAAATCTGCTACGATAATCAGAATCTAGTATTTTTTAATCATAGGCAAAATCTTTTACTCTATTATGCATTTCTTAGTAATGCTTGCTTCAGTGCTGTTTTCAAAGCTCTGTTCATTCAGGCTTTGGACACATCCACAGAATTTAAATGGTGTTATCTTTACAAAATTTTAACTGTGTATTTCTCTAGGCCTGATTAAATTGACTACATATAAAAAAAAATAATAATAATAATAATGAGGGGGGCAAGTGGTTTCTTCTTCTTTTTTTTTTTTTTTTTTTTTTTTTTTTTTTTAGTTTTTGTGTTGGAAAGGGTTAATTGAAATGTACATTTGTAATTTTATTGCATTTTAATTTGTACTTTTCTTTAAGCTCTTGATTTTAATGTATTTTATTTAAGGACTATGTGGAAAAAATGCTGTTTTTCGGGTGACGGGGAGTATATATGTGCTGGATCAGCAAGGCAGCATTCATTATATATATGGGAGAAAAGCATAGGCAATTTGGTCAAGATTTTACATGGTACAAAAGGAGAATTACTACTGGATGTTGTGGTAAGTCTCTACTCTTTTCCAATATTTACGTTTAAATGGATATATGTTGTATTGAATTTTGTAAGATAAGTTTTTTGTTTTATTTTCTGGTTTCAGTTTAAAGAGTTTGAGAACTTGTATTATGTGTTTTAATCAATATGGGTGTTCACGACTTAACCAGCGTATAACAGGGGACAATGTCCATGGTTGAAAGCAGTTAAAAAAAAGCAGAATAAAGAGGCATATTATAGTAACAAAAATTTACTATTAATAATTTACTTATATTTTTAGTAGTCTAATGAGGGAAATGAGTTCATTTGGCTACATTATATTAAATCAGTATTCAAAAGAAAATTAGCACTTTATAAATAACTAATTTTTACTTTATGTTTCTTTGTGTCACTGTCTATATTTCTTCTTTGCTTAATGGCTGTAAGCTTGATTTATTTTTACAACTAAACAATTTACTGATTTTATTATTTAACATAAATGTTGTTAAATAATCTTAATAACTGATTTAACAATATTTATGTATTCTGGTTTATGTATACTGAATTGCTTACTTTTGGTCAATAAAAACAAATCCAAAATTCTATTGGCATCTTCTACTATCACGGCTGTTATACTACTTCTGCTATTACAGCATAATTTTTTTTCTCTTTCCCCTTTTTGTTTCATGCTGACAGTTTATAATAATTTTCCCATTAATTAGTAAAAAAAAAAATTTTTTTTAAGAAGGCCCAGTTAATCTGCCGTCCTTAAATCAAGAATTACTATACTCTTAACTTATGTGTATTGTTAATGAATATTTTCATTTAAATATTACTGAAAATAGCCTCTTCATTTAAGTTTTATTTAATCAGAAACCCTGCTTCTTGTGAGCATCATTCAGTTTTCTGAAAACAATACATGTGCATACTTTCTGTAAATCATGCAAATATGCTGAAATTTGCTTTTGACTGCTGAATTTTTTTATCAAAATCATTTCAAAAATTGCAATTTTTTTATTACATGTTTCAAATCTATATGTATTTGAGAGTTAAAATACATTGCACATTTTTGTAACCAAGATTTTCTTAGTATAGATTTTGTTCTTAAGAGCGTGCTTTGCTAAAAACCAATTTTAAAAGTAATCATATGTCAAAAATTCTAAAAATATATCTTAATTAAATTATGATTTATTTTATTGAATACAAATAAATGTGAAGTATGTGTACTAATAAAAATATGCAATATATGCTCAAATTATGCTAATGTGGCGAATTTCAAAACAAAGTTCCAGGTAAATTGTACATCATATTCTTTGCTGATTATTTTGCCAGTTGCACTTTTTTTTTTTAGCAACAAACCGAACCCTGACTGTGAGGCTGTTTTTTTATAGGAATAGGAGGTATGTGGTTTGCAAAATAATGACCTGTCTCAAAGCATAGAGAGTAGAACTAGGCGTTCCAAGTCTACCTCATGTATATATGAAAATACAAAAATGTCATCTGTTGAACAGAGTACAACTCAAAATCTAGATATTATAGAAAATGCATTATCAATGATTAGATGGCAGAAAAGCACATCTGAAAATCACAGAATGAGCAAATTTTGTTACTTTCATATTGTCTATGAAAATCATGGGATAAGCAATCAGAGGGTTGTAGAGACATTATGTAATTTTTGAAGCGGGTAACACAATAAATGAGCATTGCTCTCACAAAGACTCGAACTTGGATTTCTTGAATACGCGTTTGAATACTACTGCTACACCACAAAGGTATGCAGAAAAGAGGGAGAAAATACTGTATATACTTCCCCTTTTAAGAGGTGACTGGGGATTAAGAGACCGAATTGCCAAATCCTGGTGGTGAAGAATCATCATCCACCAACTTTTTAGTTCGGGCACCATTGTAGAGACAGTAGGTTATTGTGATACAGTAGAATTGAAAAATGTGCAATGCTCTTGCCAAGACTCGAACCTGGACCTCTCGAATACGCGCCAAATGTGTTACTGTTACACCACAAAAGCATGCAGAAAGGAGAAAATGCTTTATAGGGTTAATAAGGAATGCCACACGTACGATAATAATTTTTAATTTTTATGAATTTTCGACAAAAGTTTGCTATTTCAAGAGTGTCTCGGTGATACCAATTCTTATTATATTTAGTAATCTGAATTCTAAAAGTTGTAAATTTTTTATAATTTGCAGTAAAGATTTTCTCCTGCCAGTCAAAAACAATGAAACATATTCTTTAAAAATAAGACATGTATTATGAAACAGGAAAATGTGTTTATTGTAAGTTATAATATTTCTAATGAAGCCTTAATTGGTTAAAAAAAACTATTTGAGTCATCCATGACTTGAAAGTTTATGAATAATTTGTTGCTGGAATTTTTAAATTTTAAGCACTTAAGTTTCAGCAGTTTACAATAAAGAGCTACAATTTTTTTTTTTTTTTTTTTTTCTGTTCATGTCATGTAAGAACATAACAATTATATTTCTTTATTCACTTGTAAACCTTGGTAATCTCATTCAGAGCATGGTGTTTTTCAATTTTAAAAAAAAAAAAAAGCTACAAAGAATTCAGTTTCAAAAGTTCATAAAATTAATTATATATACTATTAAAATCTGTGCATGTCTGTCTGTTTATTTGTGGCATTTCCTTCTCCAGAATGGCAGAGAGTTGAGTTTCAAGAGAGGTAACCCGGGATTCCAAAAATTCATGGGAAGCCATTTCGACCATTCTCATCTTTGTACAACTTTAATTAGCCGATCTATTAATTAAAAACTCTAAAAATGCTAGTTTTTGCCCTCTTTTTTTTTTTTTTTTTTTTTTTTTTTTTTTTTTTTTTTGAATGGCAACAGTCTTGCATGCTGGAAATAAAAATATGCTTTATTTCGAAAAGTGTTGCCATAGATAAAAATCTATCGAAAAGTATTGCCACTGCTCGCTTTGAAATCCTAGAGTTTGTTAATAAAAAATTTCGAAGTTTTACAAAATATGAATTAAAAATAGCATTGCCAAACTTTAAATATATTATTATTATATAAGGTTATATTCTAACATTGAAGAAAGCATGTGATGTCATTATATGTCAAAACTTTTTCCTTAATGTCAGCATTTTAAATAAATAGGTGCTGTTGGCAGCTTTTTTGTTTCAGGTTAAGATAATGACTTGATATCTTATAACCACATTAATTCTTTTATTGATATTGAGAAAAAGTTCTTATATTACATTAAATTTAAATCATAACGTCATGCATATACGTTATGATTAACCCGAAGTGTCAAAAGTTTTTGTTTCGTGGTTTAGCAACAAAAAAAAAAATTATTTATGAACTGCTTGTTGCATGGAAAGAATAAACTGATTTCATTCATATTGAAATGTTTTTATACATTTTCATTTCAAGTGTACATAGAAATTATACATTTTGCTTTAGACTAGGCTTGCCTGCTAGTGATATTATAATAAAATGAAGAAAACATTTTGGGATCAAATTCTAAGTCTGTAGTAAAATGCAAAAGGTTCAATTTTATCATGTCATAAATAGAGCATTTTGAATGAATTTTTGGGAAAGAAATTGGGGCAAATAATTTTTATATATATTACAAAATAATATGAATTTTAATTGCAGAAAATGCTGGATATTTTATAACTATCCCTCATTGCAGTTTTTGTTCCATTTTTAAAGATGTGCACTACTTCAAATTTTGACTTCTTGTTCTTTGATATCTTGTGCATATAAATATCAAGTTGCTAAAATAAAACAATTGTTAAATTATGTTTATTTATTCATGTTGTTTATGTATTTAGTGGCATCCAGTTCGGCCAATCATTGCTTCTATTTCTAGTGGTGTTGTTTCCATATGGGCCCAGCCTCAAGTGGTAAGTGAAAACTGTATTTTGTATATACTTCAAGCGAAAGACTATGATCTACCGACATTGTATATCTATCTATTCGGTAACAATTGTTCTTAATGTGCATTTTTTAGCCATTTTAATTCCCTGTTATTCGGCATCTTTATGTTTACAACCTAAGTCTTGAAATAAGGTTTGGTTATTTAATGTAGGTATATATATATATATATATATATATATATATATTGCTGTATGATAAGGATTCATATCTGAGATGTTAGATAAATTTGCATGTATAAGAAAAGCTGAAATTTTATTAGAAGTTTTAAAATAGTCATGTTATTTTGACAATTTCTTGCCAACTGCAGCTAATTCTTTGACAGATTTCTACAGCCAATATCTTCAGTTCTACTAAAGCTGTTTTAGAATTATTAATATGATATAGCATTTCATGAACTAAAGAATAATGAAAAACATACAATAAGTACCGCTTAATGTAATCATGTTTGTCCATGACTATTTTATAATATCAAAAGATGAAAAAGATATCATTCAAATCAGCACTAGAATTTAAACAATTTAATACAAATATAAGTAGAAACCTATACACATTACACAAAGTCATTACTAGTGGATTATCTGTCTAGTGGGTTTAGGACACTAGATCCATATCAAGAAAATGTGGAAAAGGTTGATCAACATTAGCAATGATAAACAGGGATCTTTATTTGTCACTTTCAGCATGCTGACGCAGGACTACTACAGGTTCACAGCTCTCACATCAGCTGTAGGCTGCCACTGGAACTTGAGTTTCAAGGTCTACAGTTGCCGAAAAATATGTTCAGAGATACAGTTCATGAGATAGGGTTGTTTGTATCCCATTCATTGCATAGAACATGTTTAGCATAGTGTGGACTACATGTGCCTTTGGACCAGACTTCAGTGGAGCACTATGCTTTTTACAGATGAGTCGAGATTCAGCCTGGACATTGATTCTCAGCATACATATACCTGGAGGAAGCCTGGAAAACGATACCATCCCTCCCTCATTATGGAAAAAAGGTCATTGCAGTGGTGAAGGTGTCATGATTTGGACAGACATCATGTTGAACAGCTGCACATTCCTGCATATGTTAACAAAGGCTTATTGACTGCCATGAGAGATAGAGAATCTGGAGAAAGCCCGGAACATGATACCATCCCTCCCTCATCAAGGAAAAGGATCATTGCGGTGGTGGAGGTGCCATGACTAGGGCAAACATTATGTTGGACAGCTGCACATCCCTGCATGTGTTTGACAAAGGTTCAGCGACTGCTATGAGGTACAGAGAAGAGGTCTTAGAATCCTATTTTTGACTTTTCATCCCGGATTCCTGTTAATGGACGACCACGCTCATCCACATATAGATCAGCTGGTTGACAATAGCCTAGAAAATGAGGGATTCACCACATGAATTAGTCAGCCAGATCTCCTGACTCTGACCCTATAGAGCATATAGGCCCTATAGACCCTGACCCTAAAGAGCATATAGACCCTGACCCTAAAGAGCATATGGACCCTGACCCTAAAACTCTCTTTGGACAGCAATTTCGTCTTGCCGTCCTCCTCCAAGAACCATTCTGGGATTTAAAACTTCCTTGCTACAGGAGTGAGATCAACTACCACAGGGACTCCTGAACTGCTTCCAGTTCCGTATACTGTCACGCTATGTGACCTGTCTGGTTGTGAAAGAGAACAATAACTCATATTAGATTCACTTCAAGTTTGATATCATAATTCGAATTTTGGACATCACTGCACTATGAAATTTACTGATAATCCTGCCTACATAAAATGATTTTTGGATGGTACATCTCTTTCTCTGTTATAAATGTATATTCATACCAGATTTCTTTTAAAATTTTTCAGAAATTTGATGTAGTGGGCACATTATTTTAATTTTGTACTCAAATGTATGTACATAGATACAAAATTTTCTGGCCTAATATACAGATATAGGACAAAATAATACGAACACCTGTGAAATAATGGAAAATCTTTATTAATGACTGGTTGGACCACCCTTTGACTAAAGTACAGATTGAATGTGACGTGGGATAGATGCATAAAGGTCATGGACAATATTTAAAAGAATATTAAGCCATTCCTCCTGCAGAGCGGTCTCTAATTCTGAAAGTCCAGATGGAGGTGGAAATCGGGAACGATGTTTAGACTCCAAATATGCCCATACATGTTCAATAATATTCAAGTCCGGAGACTGAAGGAGGCCAAGCGAGATGTTCATTTGCATCGTCATGTTTTTTGAACCATTCTTGAATACACCTAGCAGTGTAGATAGGGGCGCTGTCGTCTTGAAAAAGCAGTCGCTCCCCAGGGAATACAGTCTGGACATGATCCCCTAGAATGCTTAGAGAGTGATTGGATGTGATGCTCTCATGCAGAACACAAGTGACCCAAGACAGCAACAAACGCACCCCATACCGTAATGGCGCTACCCCCATGCTTCACAGTCAGCAAGAGGCAGTCAGGATGAAACTTTTTTTTTTTTTTTTTTTTTTTTTTTTTTTTTTTTTTTTTTTTTTTTTTTTTCGTTCTCCAGACATAACATCCGGTCGTTTGAAATCCTGTGAATGACAATTCATCTGACTATATTACATGTTGCCACTGCTGTGGGGGCCAACCTTTGTGATCTCTGCACCATTGGTGTCGCTTGAAAGCATTAGTTGCTGTCACCAAGGGTTTACAAATTGCCACTCTGCCATAAATGTTCGCAGCATGAAGTTCCCTTGAAACAGGTTCCTGGAGATGACTGTTCATACTGTTGTGCTTTGAAGATGCCGTCTTACCCTTTTTTGTGTATGCTATCATAACGGCTGATACCCTACTCCTTGCACACTCCACAAGATTTGCTGTTTCCGTAACTAGTGCTCTACTTAAACGCACTCCAAATATCATTCCTCTCTGCTTACATTTCATCTTCTCACAGACAGTTCGATCGAAGCATGTAACGCAGGTGACTGCTGTTAAGAGACTGATACCTTCCTCTTCACCCTCACTAGGTGTCAGACTTCTGTTGTAGGTGGCACGGCTGTACTGTAGGTGTGAAATACGTCATACTTTTTCACAGGTGTTTGCATTAAACAGGTCCTCCATCTGTACTTCTAAAAGAATCATGAGCATCTCTATGCCTTGAAAAAATAAGCTGAAGGTTCGTCCACAATATGTTTCCTAATTACTCCTTTCACTTCATCATCATTAAATATCTTCCTGTGAAAGTCAGGTTTCAGTTTAAGAACAGATATTAACCACTTTGAGCAAAATCTGGGCTGTAAGAGATGGATCGAATCCATAACCTCTTTACTCCCAACGTATTATATATGATATGGCTCCATTTCCTTCCTTGGACCTATCATATCTTATATGATGCACTGAAATGGAACGCTTTATTTCAAATTTTAAATGTGCTCAAATTATGTCAGAATGCTGCGAAAAACTTATAGAATGGAATATCTAGAGTATTAGCATTGTTGTGAAGAGTATTGTTTTTTATTTTATTTTACGAAAGTAAAATGCACATCACTAAGAATGCATTTTTATAATTAAAAAATGTTTCATGCAGTGCGAATGGCTTAAAAGTTTTCTGAGTAATAATGGTAATAGGATATAATAAGCAGTGATATTTAAATTCTTAGGATTTTTACTTCACTACTGTAGAGAAATAATTTAAATATGGGAATATAAATGTTATTACTAGCATTGTGCTTTAACTTATTCTGAATTTTGATCTAATTTTTAATTTAATTATAATTTTCTGTTTATATTATAAATATTTGCAAGAATCCAAATATTTAGATTAAAAGCAGGTTTTATAGGAATTATTTTTGCGTGTTAGCCATAGTTACGAAATATACTCAGGTTCACAGGGATGGCGAGCACTCTAAGGTCACAGGCGTACAAGGAAACTTCATTTGATCGCCATCAAGAGTGAAGAGGTTAAGCTGACATTTCCTTATGTCTTTATTAGCAACAAATGAATGCGCAGTACTATTATCCTGGCAAAAACAAACTTTGCAGCTCAGCATGCCACACCTTTCATTGTTAATTTCATTCTGAAATTTATGTGGAAGGCTTGCATAATATTCCCCATTGATTATTGTGTATTTCTTTCTTTTAAATTTATCAAGAGGATCCCTTGCTTCACCTGGTTTTCTGCACTCCTCTGATCCTTTCAGTAGAGTATCATAGTATAGGACTATTGTTTCATTACCGTGTACGACTGACTGTAAAAAAATTGTCTGATTTGTGCTATGTTGGGGATATTATTGCACACTCAGTATTTTTTATGCTAATAGAAAATACTTCATGTTTTAAAGTTATATGTAAAGTATGTATAGCTAACCTCCAAATCCACGATATTATCAAATACTGATAGATGGATTCATTGAGCTATGCACACCTCCAATTCCATGATATTAACCAATACTGATTAGCGTATTCATTGAGCTACCCATATATAAATAAAAATGCAGTTAGTCTTGCTTAGAGTTTTAGAGAGTGTAGAGTTACAGTGCGGTTAAATGAACTGAGTATGTTTCAAATAAGCCTAGTAGCTGTAACTGTTTACTGCGCCAAAAGCCTTTTATACTGAATTGTATCTTTTCCTATATTATCTATTCAAACCTTTATTTTCGGTCCTCTGAGTTATTTATGTCGCAACAGCTGCTCGTAGCAAACAGGATGTTGTGATTTTTTTTAATTGCTGTAAGAAGTTTGGGTACCTATCTTATTCAGACTTAGGTCACGTGAAAGCATTCATTGTAGGTGCTTTCCTTCTGTACAAGAGCAATATTTTCTTATGACTGTCAACCTTCACAAGAATTGTCTTCTACAGCCTGTCAGCCCATGCAAAATTGCTCTGTATGTTCTTTCACTGTTCACTATCTACATGATCCAAGTATAGTTTTATATCTTTGGGATTAAGAACTTCAGAGTCAAAAATTCAATCATAGAACAACACTCAGTTTTAAATATTTTTGAACAAACTAACATATCGCATACTCATTGAACAGTCACAAAAGAATGTATACAATTTTCCTAATAAAACTTTCAAATTGGTAAATTGACGGTTTAAATTTAGTATTGCCACTACATGTTTGGTAGAGGAAGTTATTGCTACTAAGTTTTTATGTGCCGGACCAGAAAATTTTGGAACTGGAAACTTCTACCTGCATATCCTTGACACTATTATGCCATTGTATTATTATAATTTTAATCACTTTGAACCCTAATATGTCTTCTATGCTTCTTTTGAGATAGGACCTACGTAGTCTAATCTTTTAACTCAATGAATTACAGCTAGCTTCTTCAAGTACTATTATGTAATTTCATAACTAATGCAGACTGACTCTAATTTTTGGAAGAATGTAAATAACATATTGCTCATGCTGTTTCAAAGATACAAAATTCATGATATTAAGCCACTCCTATTTGCTCTCTAATACTACTATATTCATTTCTACATGGTAATGCAGATCATTCAGTCACACTTTAAAGCTTTTACATATGCTGTGAATAACTGTGGCATATATTGCAGTTTCTCTTTAGTCATGGCTCCATAGGATAAATACAGAATATGATTACATTTCTTTTTGTTGATTAGTAGCTTCATGTATATGCGTGTAAAGAAAATCAAAAAGTAAAATTAATAGGGTAATTAAAATTGCTCAGTAGATAATTTTTTCATAAATATGTTATGCTTTCTAGCTTGAAATGCTAGTGCATGTAGGCTTATCATCTTGGTGGTAAAAATTGTTTGGAAGTTTTCAAATAACAGCCAAAAAAGCCATTGATTTTGAAGCGCAAATAAAGAGCAAATTGGAGCATTTATCTAACAGAAGTAATGCATCAGTAACTGTGCACTCAATCAGGGAATTGTTTCTTGTAAAATTCTGGAGATATAGAAATGTTAATATACCTAACTAAATATGATGTTAACTATTATTGGAGAAGTCATACAACAAGAATCAGCATAATATTTTTAAATTTTGCAGGACTAGTTTTGATGGTTTAACTACAGAACCATCAAAACTAGTCCTGCAAAATTTAAAAATATTACCCTGATTCTTATAGTTTGACTTCTCCAATAATCATTATTCGGCATGTTATTTTAACCTAAATTATAATGATAACTAGTTTAAAAAATAGCTTTTTGCTTAAGCTAATAACTTTATAACTGCAGAAAAATTTAATTATAGTCTCAAATATTTCATCGAATATAATATAGTTTAGATAAGTGAAAACTAGGTTGCGTTTGAATTAACCCAAAACCCTAGACTAAAGGATTACTGCAATTTAGTTTAATAGTAATAGGAGTAATCCTTTAGTTTTGAGTTTTTGACATCCCACCTCCAAAAAACCCTACGTCCTGCCTATCTTAAACTACATGACTTAAATTTAGATTTTGGCATCACCAATGGTCAAATAGTTAAGACTGTTGAATGGTGGTAGTTTGAACCCAGATGAACAGGCTGGCTACTGTATCGATTTTATTGATTTTCCCCATGTGTAGGATGAATGCAAACCAGTTTCCCTTAAAAAGTCCTCCATGAAAGCATCTCTTATCTTAGGTAGCTGTTATGTGGTTTGCCATGTTCAAATAAGCTAACCTAACCTAACTCAACCCAATTTAGGTAATTTAATTTTTCATAAAAGTGTTTTTAGCTAAAGACTAAAATGATAAACAGAAATTAAATGCATTAGTCAGATTTTATAGTTTTAGACTTGATTTTTATGTTTAATGGAAACATTTTTCCCCCAGCTCTAAAAGTTTATTCTTAGATAGCATTATTAATATGAATAATGCGTACAGGAAGGTAACTAAAATGAAATAATTATAACATATAGTAATTAGCATGCATATTTAATATAGGAAAATTGGAGTGCATTTGCTCCAGATTTCAAAGAGCTAGATGAGAATGTTGAATATGAAGAAAGGGAAAGTGAATTTGATGTAGAAGATGAAGATAAAAGTCCCCAGTTGCATACTGAAAAACAGGATGAGGATGAATATGTTGATGTTGTAACAGTTGAGCCAATAGCTGCCTTCTGTAGCAGGTAAATGTTTCTGAGAATATTTTAAATGTTTTACATATTAAACTAGTTTAAATAAAAATTGCTTTAAAATTCAAAATGTAATGTTTTATGTGTTAGTAATATGAATAAAATCATAGCATTTTTGGATCTAAGATTAAAAATCAGAGTTTCATTTTAATTTCTGTCAGTAAATTAATTTCAAACAATAACAAAGGCAAATATGTATAACTCATAAATTGTTGCACAGATTTTGATAAGAGATGAGAAATGCAGAAAAGTCACTCTTTTTTTGCTAATTAATGAATGTTGTGGATAATGCCATTTATTAACAGACATGCTGTATTTATTCAAAAATAAGATATCCTTACATTTTAGGATAAACGTTAAGAAACAAATTTGTAGGAGAATAGCTAATGACAGCAGCAGCAATTCCGATTAGAATTAAAAGTAAACTACCCAATTAAATATAATATTGTACTAGGAAAAAATTATTAAAAATTAGTGATACTTTGTTATGTGTTTGTTGTCATGCATATGAGAGTTGCTATTTATATTTCTGGCCTAATAATGAGAAAACAAATGTTTATGATCAAAATATTTTATTCTTTTTCAAGAGACTCTCCATGAAAATCAATACACTTTTGCATGCATTTGAACACATTTTTTCCACTCCATTTGCGGTAACTCCAAAACATGCCTTTTGATTGCATCAACTGCTTCATTGGGTCTCGCAAAGTGTTGACCACATAATTTATTTTTGATGTGTGGCAATAAAAAAAAAAAGTCATTGGGTGTCAAATCAGGGCTTTATGGTGTATGTCCCATCAGTTCGATGTTTCGGCCTGTCAAAATTTTCTTTGTTAGAGCCGATGTGTGAGAGCTTGCATTGTCCTGATGAAGAATGATTTGCCTCTTCTGCTCTTTTCAAATTTCTCCGATGACTTCTAATAAATAAATGGTCATGTACCATTTGGAATTGACCGTTCCCTGTTAGTCTAACGTAAGGTGACCATTTTAACATTGTTAAAGCGGGACACCATTTACCGGGGGGGGGATCTTTATTAAAAATTTGGTCTATATATATGAAGCAAAACAAATTTTCATAGAATGTAAAACTAGTATTGTAATATACTTTTTAAAATTTCAACATGAGTACAATTTACAAATATAATACATTAAAAAATTATGTATAGTACTATTTTATCCTTTAGCATATTTCTCATTTGAGTGAATTCTTTTTGTAGATTGCTGTTGTTTTTTGTTGAATAACTTTTGGACAACTTATGATGTACAACATCTGAAGGAGTGATTGTGATTATTAATATGAAAAGACATAAGTCCTTCTGCTAATGCTAATTTCATTTCTTCGTCTCCATAAATTGTTTTCCAAAAGAATTCTTGCATTTTGGAGGAAGATGCAGTAGTATTTAAATATCTTTTATGTTCCTGTGTCCCCCAGCGCTTTTAAATATCATTCTTCCAAACAGGCGAAATAGAAAATTCACCATTACATTTCTCACATTTAGAACGTAATTGCTTTTAGTTTTTAACAAAAGAAAATTCACTTTTTAGATCATCTTTGAATTTTCATCTTCTGTTTTACTCATTATGTTAAAAATCTAAAGAAGTAATTTATTATAAATTTATAAATTGTATTATAAATTTTTATCTATATGTATTGCTTAAAAACACAGTAAATAGGTACATAATTACATGAACAAATTTTATTCTTAGTTTAAAAATTAAATTAATTTGTTTGTTATAAAGTAACTATATTTTCAAAATTATTTTAATTTTAATCCTATATTTCTTTCTAAATAATAACAATTTACTAACTTGTTTTATTTTTTCTCTGAATTTGCTGTTAACGTAAGTCGTAAGCATCACTTTCAAGGCTGACGCTTGACCTTTTGCCGCCACTATAAAATATAAATAATAAGAGTACTGTCTACTAAATTCAAGAAAATTTATGTGCTTATTAGTTCAACTCATTGCAAATTAAACTGATTGGAAACTTTTATTCATAATCATGAACAGCACTAAAAACTTATACAGAAAAAAAACTACAGACTTCCACCTTCAGCACACCCAACACCAACACATGGTGAACGAACAACCGCATGGTCAACAAAACTCTTTAGTCAATGTTATAGTTACATATGAAAATTTAAAAACAATAACACAGCAAAAAAAATGTTCTGAAAATTCACACACTTAATTTAAAATATTGAATACACATTATTACAGTTATCAGCAATGACAAATAATTATTACACTTTTCTTTCATAATTTAAATTGATTTTTTACCAATTTCTGAGCTATCACCAGGCCACTGAAATGTTAAGTTCAAATCCAATGTATTGGACTGGTGCAGCCATCTACTGACAAGATAGTGAAATGCAAAGTGTTCTAGCATGCTTATGAAATAAATAAATAGATTGCATACCTAAATTACCTGAATAGCTGATTTGTTGACATCACTTGTTTAACTAGCACTAGCACGCAGTACGATGTGTATCGTCTGAGAGACAGTTGCAAAATGTTTTCGTCATTGCCAATACCAAAAAATGCCATCAAGCCCAAATAGTGGAGGTCGAATTCTAACAACTGATCAACAATGCGAACTTTGATAAGCAGTTCTCGATAATCAGTTGTCAACACTTATTTGTTATTATTAAAATTTGACATTATAAAATTAACAAAAATAGTATAAGACTCATATCTTGGCAAAGTAGCCACATAGCAGCCGAAAAAACCGTGTTCTTCCGCCATTCCCTAGCTTGTGTTGCATTCTTTCCAAAAATCGGGACATTTTTAAAACGCTGTGGGACACAGGACAGATTGTTAAAATTCGGGACTATCCCGCCAAAAGCGGGACATCTGGTCACCTTACTCTAATGCCTCTGTCGCCAAGTGATGGTAATGCCAAAGAAACAGGCATCCATTTGCTTCGAAGTACTACTTCCGTTAACAACTTTTGTTGGATTTGGCTCGTTTTGGAAGACCCATACAGTCGACTGCTCTTTTGTTTTGGGCTCATGTGCATAGATCCATGATTTGTCACATGTGTAGATGCTATACAGAGCCTTTGATGCACTTTGAAAGTATTTTTCCAACATTTTCTTGCACTATTCAACACAAGCCTTCTTTTGAGTGTTTCTCAGATTATGCGGTATCCAATGCGAACAAATTTGTTTTATGGCCAAATGTTTTCATGTAATATCTTATTGATGGTTGTCATACTAATACCTAAAGAAGCCTCTCTCATGGTATGTCACATGACAATTTTGATTTATTAGTTTATGCACAGCATCGATATTTTCTGGCACAGCTGATTTTGGATGAATTTCATGGAAAATAAATGTCCATTGAGCATAAATGTCCTTCAGCAAACGTCAACCATGGTTGAATTCTAGTATAATTCAACCATGGTTGAATTATACTAGTTTTTTACGGTGCTGTAGGATGGTGCTTTATTACTGTATAAAGAATTAAGTTCATCAAAGCACTCTTCCCTTGATAATCCACGAAATGTTCACAAGTCTGTTCCATTTTTTGCCCGAGATGAATTTTTCAGTTTACTGTAAACAACACAAATCAAGCTAAATTGGCAGAATGTTCTGAAGAAGTTATGGTTAAAAATATCAAACTTTCAATTGAAATCGTCTACAGTCGCCTAGCAACACTTACTGTTGCCAAGGCAAAAAATATAAATAGGAACCTTGTAGTGAATGCAGGCATAAACTGAAATCACTCAGCTATTATAATAAACAGTAGTTATGCAATTTATGTATAGAATAATTACATGTATGGTTTATGTAATACTTAAAAAGTATATTTATTCTATTTAAAGCATCATAATTAAATGCCTTCCTGAAAGCAACTTCTAAATTTGAAGTTTCACTGCAATTCAGTAATTGTAAAGGTATTTTAAGAAACAGGGGTATTTAATTTTAGGAATCAAATTGAAGATCATCTTCAGTATGATAAATATTATTTTTAGGATTGTGTAACAACAAATATTGCTGAAAATTCTAGCTCAAATTATCATAAAGTATTGATTATAAAAGAATGAAAAGAATTGAACTTAAATTGTCTTGATATTCAAACATGTATAAAATTGGTTTTAGTGATCCATTATTTTTAGTGTAGCAGCATGCATTTCCTCCTTCTCTTTCTTTCTTTGCAGAAAATAAGATGAAGAAGTGATGCATTGTAGCTCATCTTTGGTCAAAAATACAGGTGCTTTGGATTGCCATAGAGAACATTTGAGCATAAACAAATCTCTTGTAATGTTTTGGGCAGTGTCAGCTCCTCATATTAATTTAAGAAGAGATTTATTCATTGAAACTTATAAGTTCAAAGGTTAAATTTAAGGCAACTTCTAAGTTTTCCTCTATTATAAGCTCTCTTAGTGCAACTTTATCCAGCTAATGGCATTATAACTTCATGAACATAACATATTCTAACATGCAGACATCCCAAATCTCCTTGAATAGGAGATGTCAGACCACCAAGAGAAAATCAATCTTCAATTGCTTCACCAATAATTAAATTTAACTCTACAGTCACATTCACTATTTCTATATCTTTAGAAAATTTTCATTTATTGTACAGTGTTATAGCAAAAGATATGATATCAGATGGAATGTCTTCAAGGGTAAAATTTTCTTCCTATATTGGATCAGGTGGACATTTAATTTGGGTTTGACTTTCACTTAGAGAAATTATACAGAATAAATGAGGTACTAGTCTCACAGGCCGTCAGTGGGCTTCTAGTAATGTTAGATGTAAACTTTTTACTTCAGTTACATTGTGGCTTGGTGCTCTACCTCTTGGAAGTTGTGGAGAGGGCAGTGGTTTGATAGCGTGTATCTATTCCTGTGTTAGATCAGACTGGCACATAAGTAATAAACCATGCTGGTACAAGCCAAAGCATGTTCAACAAGCTGGAAGCAATTAGGTCTTTCAAGAGAACTATCATGCACCATGTATAAATAAGTATAATGTAATTCAGTTAGACCTTTAGGTTTTGCACATTTCATACTTCTAGAATTTAATTGACTGAAGGGGGGTTTGTTCATATATTTATTTTTCAAGTCTGTCTATCTAATCTATAATCATTTCTATATACATTATAAATTTGTTATTTATTGACTAAATTATTCATACATTTATCTAATCATTCTTTAAGCATAAGAAAAACTATATATTATTCTGTATATACATTCAGCATAAGATACTGGAATATATTATCATTGTAATATAGATCAGAGTTTCTGAAATTTTCACCAATGTTCTTCTGTTTAGTGATGAGGAAGCATCTGACACTTCAGCCCTTCTTTATCTTCCTATATCACCAGAGATAGATGATCCGGAGGAGGGTTGGGGTCCATCTGCTGATATGGTAAGGCTATATATCATGGAAAATATTTTAAAATTATATTTTTTTATGCAGTTTTCAGTTAATGAGCATTTTGAGTCGTGTAACTTCAGAGAAATAAATTATAATGTTTTTTATTTTTATTAAAAGCATTGTTTTATAATTATATCAAAAATATCAATTAAAATTTATGGTAAAATATTGCAAGTTAACTTTTAGAGAGAGAAATGTGATGATGCAAAAACTAATCCTGTTATGAAATGATAATATATTTATTGGGAAGAACTGGCATAACAAATGAAAGACAGATATTTTCTTATGTAAAAAGAGTGCTAGAGGCAATTTTTCTATTCATTATCTTTAGCTGTATTCTAAAATATGCAACTATTAAAATTCTTCCTGAAGATGAAAAATAAAATTATTCTATATGCATGCATTCTATTGTACTAGATCTAATGAAGCCGTCCCGTATGATATGGTGCTCTGTAAGAACTAGCTGCAGCATTACTTCTGTTTGAATCGTATAATCTTTTATAAGGGTTGGATATAAGGGTGACTCTCTAATATCTTTGTAGAATGGGAACACTTAAAATCTCTCACTCTGCAATCCTCTCAACAGGCTAATTTTAGCCAACCTTTTGATTGAATTCCAGATGGGGGGAAAAAAAAAAAAAAAATCTTTCGAATATAATATGTTAGGTAATGGTGGCCAACTGCTTCTCACTACAGTCTAGCTTCAAATTCTAGGCAAGGCATTGATGTTTTTTATTGTATAATATCTTTGCAGCACTTAAAATGTGTTGAACTAAAAATTTATCTGGAAAACATTTGAAAAGTTTAATAAATGGATGTTTGTAAACTTGGAATAAATTTTAGACTGCAAAGTGAATTATAATTTTGATGATACTTTGGAATAATAATTTTGAGTTTACTGTTTACTTTTAATATTTTGTGTATACTGATACTGAATTAATGTAATTGCAGGCTCCTGATGAACAACCATCAAAAAGGCAAGCAGGTGATCAAAGTAATTCATCAAAAAAGAAACGTCCAAAGGTTATTGATATGATCCTGGAAAATGCTCCCAAAGATGGTAATGGCAGTTTCTCAATAGAAACATTCTTGTTGCTTTTTAAACTGTGTGTTATCAAATGTAAATTCTACAAGATTTTAAGAACTATCTGTTAAATACAGTTGAATTAAAATTCGTAGAGGTTTTCAAACAAAGTAATATAGTTTGTTTCTATTTATTTAAAAAAACACTTCATGAAATCATACCAGTAATTAAAGAGAAAGTGAGAAAAACATTTATACAAATACATTGTAGTCTTTATAATTTAAACTCATCAATTCTGTTGATTAATGTTGACAAAAAAAATTGCTATTGTACCTTAAATAATGTTAAAATGCATTCTGGTAGCCAAAACTGTAACCTATTTTTATATTTTCTGGTAAAGAAATGCAAAAATATACACTAAATATTGAAATAGGGGCTAATTAGTTTTATGTATACTCAATAATGAAGTAATGTGAGAAGAACATTCACTTTTATACAGTTTTACAAAAAGCTGTATTGTTTCCTTGTTGTGCAATGTTGACTACTTGCGGTGTTCATTGTATGAATGTCTGCACTGACTTACTGTGTAAATCATTGAGTTATCATCTCATTAAACAAACGTGAAAGTTTATTATAGACAACTTCACTAATATAGACAGCCTATTATCTTATAAGTATTCATTTAATAAGCATAATATAAATATGATATAAATGGCTGTATTCATTTAATAAGAGTATTATTATTTGAGCATTAAAAATGTATTTTCAAACTCAATACCAACCTGTATATCAATGGTCTTAAAACTGTGTTCTTGGAAATTCAGTGTTCCACGAATGAAAATAAAAATTTGAAAAGTAAATTATAAGGCACTCACACTGGTTGACTAGTGTCTATTAACTAAAAAATTAAAGATACATAAAATAAGTAACACAACAACCTTGAGTTTGAGGTAGATTTAAGTCAAGATCTCAATGGATTTTGAGGGAAGACAGGTACAGGCCCATCGTCATCAGGAGCAAAGAAATCTGCAAGACTAGAAAGCAGTGGGCATAATAGTCGTATTTATACTCTACAGCAAGGATGTCAAACTCATAGGTACACTTGGGCCAAACAAACAAGGTTTAACTTTAGGTGGGCTGAAAAAAAAAATCAATATTCATAGAAACGTAGATTTATTTCAAATAATACAATATGTTATCATCCAATAATTTCATTTTGAATTATTTTCCTAAATATGTTGCTTCTTCTTCATTATTGAGGATTCTACAAATATATTCCTCTATTTTTGGTTCAAATTCAGCTAGCAATTGAATTAGCTTCACAAAATTTCCATTATTATGTTCATAAAGCTTGCCACTTTTACCCTGAGAAAGTAGAGAACTTTCAACAAGCAATTTAATAACTATATAACTGTTATAACTGTATAGTTTAATAACTATATGTGATATAACTGTATAGTTTAATAACTGTATGTGATATTATATTATGCATAAAATTACTTCACTCCAATATTTAATTTCAGAATTAATTAATCTTTATTCAGCTGAATCTGCTGTCTGACTAGTTTTCAAACTTAATTCCAGCTCTATCCATGATTTCAAATTATTTTTATGAGTTTTTGAGTCTTCATGCTTTCTTAATATCTCACCAGTATTTTAACCTTCATTTAAAAATGAATTTAGTTTTGAATTACCAAAATGTCTGCAACAAAAACATAACAGAATCTTTTGACACTGAATATACCAGATAATATCTTGATATATGTTCTCCATTTTTTTAAATTCTGTGATTCTGTGTTTAAAGTCGTTGAGTGAACTTAGGATATTAAACATGCAGATGGCACAAACAATACTAATGCACCTCAAAAAAGCACTTTTCTAATCCACTATTCTGTAATTGTTACATAAACTGTATCACTATAACAATCCAAATGGACCCCATGGATGCTATTGCATAGATAAGACATTGTTTTCAATCTTACTCTGTTTTATTGGACACCCAGAACTTGGAAAAGTGTCTCTTCTTGTCTACTGTACATCTCAGAATATAAAAAAAATCATCTCCGAATAACCAAAATTGCTAAATACATTAAAATGACAAGCTAGGAGTATCAAGAACATAGGTTAATCTCTTTTATTCAGAGTTTCAAACAGAACTTGTCAAGGGAAAAAAGTGTTATGAAGCTTCAAACCACAAAAGAGATAAACCTATGTTTTTTATACTTCTAGGCTGCCATTTTAATGTATTTAGCAACTTCTTTTCTAAAGTTTATTGTTCCATTTTGTTCACTATAAGAAAAATTTCTTTTGCAATGTATTTCGGAAACAGAGATAGGTAGAGTCCAAATATTCTTACAGCTTTTGTTAGGTATTTTGATCTTGACTTTTTAAATTCATTTAAAAATTAAGCAGCACTAGGCGCTAATTTTGAACTTGCTATTATTTTGTATTTTTTATAAACTGAACTTAGACTATATTCTAATTTCTTATGTATATATATATTGGTATTTCAGTTGGTTTTGCTACCCTAGGCATTTGCTTACCTGCCTACGGTAAAATATAAGTCAACGAAAATGAAAGACAGTGCTTTAGAAAACTAAACAGTTCTCTAATGCAAAATGAATTACATTTAGATGACTGTTTTAAAAATTATATAACGGAGCATCTTTTTCATTTGAAGGAAACCATAAAAGAGTATTTCCCAGAAGGAAAAAAACTGAATATTATTGTATAAAAAGTCCGTTCGAGTACTATGATAAATCAGAAGGCTTGCCATTGAAGTAAAGGGAGCAATTTATCAAGATATCAATGGATTCGACATTAAAATCTACATTTAGGCAAGAGCAGCTCATAAATTTTTGGTTGCAGATTCATGCGGAATACCTAGAAGCTTCTTACACCGTTATAAACATTTTAATGCCGTTCGGAACAATGTATTTAAGTGAAAAATCTTTCTCAGCATACATGGCTACAAAATAAATACCGAGACAAATAAAATGCAGAATATGAAGTGCAACTGCAGATAACATCAATCGAGCTGGACTTGGACATTTTGAGAAAAAAAAAATGCTAGTGTACTCCTGTCACTAAATATCATGCAAGAGTTGATGAGCATGAGTTAATGCTCATGCTTAAAATAGTACATCTTTAGTAAATACTTCTTAAAGCATTCAAACTCAGTAACTGAATAGAAAATACCAAAAATCATCAGTAAATCCCAGCATAAAAGCCACCTTGAAATCAGACATGTGCTAATAATGTCACTAGACTGTGTTGCAACAGAGAATTTCCTTTTAGTCTGCTCTTTATCTGAAATCCTGAGAAATACAGCATCATATGCCAAGTAACCCTGTAGGAAACAGTAAAAGAAGGGTAACTTGATCCAACCATTCATTCCAGCTCTAGCTGGCGAAGCAGACAGGTCATCTGTGAAAACCCCTATTAAACATAAATTTCAGCATGACAACTTATAATTTTTAATTTTGTTTTTACTTAATTCCACCAACTATTGAGCATAACCTTTCCGTCTAATTATTGCTGCTTTGCATCAAATTCTATTACTTTCCCCCCCCCCAATCTATGCATTGTTTCTAATTGATGTAAACCTTTTTCTTGTCATATGTTATTATATATTTGGAAAAACTGCAGATCCAAAAGGTTTTCAAGGAAAATTTTGCAAATTTCACTCATTTACTTACTTGTTCTATAATGAGGGCAGGAAAACAGTTTGCAATTTCTGTATGCTTCTTCAGCTTGGGTAATGCATGACATGTGTAATCTAATTAATCTAATCTCCTTAGATAATCTAGAGTCTATTGTAAATTTTCAAGTATTAAGTAATAGTTGAGTGCAGCTCAGTGTCAAAAATCAGTGACTGATGACCTGCTACATCTAGCCTTAATATGAAGCAAGAAACCACCAATCGCAAAGGATTTGAACCATTTCTGGGTTGTTATCTGATAGTTTTACTTCAAGAACTTTATGAGCAGCTTCCATGGCTCTGTAGCCGAGTTTAAAATAATTCCTGACCTTAAGCACTGATAAATCTGATTCACATTGATTATAAAAACAAAGCAACATACACGTTTTAAGATGATGTATTTCTTCATTAATAGATCTACCCATATTCATGCATAAAGGTGCATATACAAGTAACATTAAAACAAGAGAGAGATAAAGAAAGGAAAGGAAAATAAGATACTTCTGATAATTTTAATAGAAAATGCACTGTATTTAAACTAAGCTAAAGTTTGTTGCTTTAAAACTGCTATGTATAATTTCTGCTTTTATTTATTTTTGAGTTCAAGAAATGTATGTCTATAGTGTTTGTATATTTTTAAAATGATATATTACATTTTTTCAAATAGAATTTTTAAATTTTCTACCTGCAGAGACTCATCCACTTTTAAATTCAAAATCAAGAGATAAAGTTAATCAACAAGCAAGAAAGGCTGGTAAAACAAAGCAGCATAGAGCTGGATTTCATTCAGAAAATAAAATTTCACATCGATCAAAGCATGGAAACAAAAATAAAGAGAAAATGTCTGGTAAGTATTACAATACCTTAACTCTTTATCTGTCAGTTGTTTTTTTAAGATAAATATTGTTTGCCAAAAAATATAGTAAAATTTTGAAATTTTTTCATTTTAAAGAATTTTTTTTTTTTTTTTTTTTTTTTTTTTCCAGTTGACTACTATGGATGGAAAGATAATGATGATTAATTTCCATTCTTCCACTAAATCAAGTCACTTGTACATAAAATAAATATTTATTTTATTCTTTTAAATATATTAGTAGTTTTTTTTTTTTTTTTAAATTTCATTTCATTATCAATAATGCTGCTGTTCATATTGAATCATTTTTTACTGTATGTAATTTATGATTACAAGATTTGATGGGATTACTCAGTGATCAGATAGATAGTAATCTCATAGTTGACAACTTTATAGCAGAAAAAAACTGTATAGATTTTTTAATGAAAGTAGGATTTAAACTTAATTGTTTTAAGGAATAAAGTGCCTCCTGATGATAATTAACAGTAATGCTTTCAAAATCAGAAAGAAACTGCAGACAGGTAAGTTTTTCTCTATTTTACATACAAGGTAAGATTCAAAAGTTTCTAAGCCTAATATACTTCTAAAAAATGGAGCAAAAATCAATTGTTCAGTAAGTCTTTTGTACTTTTACATCTTTTAATTAATTGCTTTATGACCTTAAAAAATTAATTTAAAAATTTCACAGAATGTTCCTTAGCTGCTGTCTCCACCTCTTTAGAATCATTAAATCATCTTCCCTGAAGCTCAGATAAGTGTCACTTGGAGATAGATCTAGGCTATAAGCAGGGTGATCAGTGTCCTGCAACCGATGTTTCTTTGCAATAGCGACTATGTGGGCAGGAAAAGATTGACTTCATGAAAAAGTTAAAATTTCTTATCTCAACTTTCCATTTTCTCTTTAATATCATTGCATAATTCATGCAAAAGAGAGTTTCCATTCCTGGCCACATCTCTTTCTTTAACCCTCTGAGCAGTGTGTCTTGGACTTGCTGATAAAGATTAAACTTTTGATGGTCATAACGAGCTCAGATCACATTACAAATTTTTGTCTAAATGATAATGAACAAGTTCTGTTTGCAAATTAGTTTTTTCCCTGAATGTGCAGAGATGAAATAAGCCTGTTTTTCAAAATAACCTAATGGATTTTAGAGCTGAACTCACAAATTAGCTGATTTAACTTGGTATAGATGACAGTAAGTGTACTAGATAATATACTGCATAATAAAAGTGAATTTGGCATTTTTATTGCATTTTAAGGCATTTTTATTGCTCTATTTTGAATGCATTCTTGTATTGATGTTTGTAAAGAATTGCAGCATTTTTGGTCAAAAATCAAACTTTTTGTTGTTCAAAATTACAAAAGTAAAATATTTCCAGCTTGAGAATCTTCAGGCGGGAATTTTGTAGTGTAGGGACTTTTACATTTCTCACGGGATATTTATTTGGTAGCATAACAATGCAAAGGCATTACAACATGATAGCTAAAAATGCATCAAAGAGAAAGCTAAAGCACATTTTTTTTTTTTTTTTTTTTTTTTTTTTTTAAGAAGAACCTGATTCTGATGACAAAAGTCCAGATAATGAAAAAACTTTATAAAACAAATATCTGTATCTGGATTCAGATACAGATATTTGTTTTGAAAGTTTGGAAGATCATTCGAGTGGAGAAAGAAGACTTTAGTACTACAAAATGCTACATTCATGTAGAATTTTGGGTTTGCAACTCTACTACACACAAAAGTGTTTTTAGTTAAATAAACATACATGTATTCATTAAAATTTTTCATTATTATAATATTATATACCTTATTAATTTGTAAATTGATAATCTAACATGTCTTGGTATGATATAAATTTGTTCCAAAACATTATTATATTGACAGATTTATAGCATGTAAAAAATACAATGGCAAATAAATACAATATTATTTTTATTAAATTATTATTTGTTATAACTTTTTTATTATTTTCTTAAAAATTAGTCTAAAATAGAAACTATCTATAAAGATGCATGTCTATTTTCCTTTCAAATTCTCTAGCTTCCAAAAATTCTCTTAGCTTAATTTAAAATGAAAATTCAGTGTATAGATATAATTTCATGGCATCAAGTAAATTGTAATTTTCAAACCAAATCGGCTTTCATGTAGCATAAACATCTACCCCAATTGCTATTACTTTAGCTTTTTGTTTATTATTATTATTTATTTATTTATGCACAAATAGAAGATAAATGTGAAGTAATGCTGACAGTTAGCAGAATCCAGAGCCATTGTGTATAAACATATTCATATGATATCATGATAACTTCCATATGATCATTATTTTAAAGGTACCATATTTTCATATATGGAATATCAAACACTCCATTTTTTGCAAAAAAGAATTATGTATTTCTAAAGTATTTTCTCTCACCACCACATAGCTTCATGGTATAATTGGAAACACGCCAGTTGTGAGATCTGGATTTGAAAGGCCGAGCAAGAGCATTGTTAATCCTTTCTTGTTTTCCTGCCTAAAAAAAGCTGATGACTCTACATATTGACTTCAATAGTTAGTTATCAACATAATCATTTTTAAAATCGTGAATGTATACTTCCAAGTTATGGTGCCTTGGTAATATCTTCTAATCTTATCTTTTAAAATTTGAACTCTTTTTCTGTGGTTTAAAATAATGGTCTCAAGCTCAAATTGCAAACTAAACAATCTAAAAGCGCTGATGGGCCAGCATATTTTTATCTAAATTAAATTTTAGTTGCTAAATCTTCATCAAAGTGTACACAAGGAATAATAATAATAATGCAAAGAAAAATATACAAATTTATATTTATTTCATATCTTAAATCTAAAGAAAGAAATTTCTGTTATTACTTTTCATAATTCAAACATATTGACAATTAAATATTGAATATTCAGATAATATCCATAATATTTAATATATCATATAATCTTTATTTAACAATTCAAGTTTGTATTTTAAATTTTTTCTTTCAACCTGTTGGTAACGTTTGCCCAGTTACAATAAAAAAATGATAACTTGGTGATTTTTTCTGAAAAAATTGTGCCAATTTATGGCTGATAAATAACTTTTACTATGTATGAAATTTTTTGCTAAAATTTTTTCCCATAACTGCAACTTAAAAGTTTTGATACAAATGCACATGTTAGTGATACGTTTTCATTCTTTCCTTGCAACTCTTCATTGAAAATATTTAAATGGCCAGTTAAGTTGACAAGATATGCTAAATGTGTTACCTATGTAACATTACATAGTGCAGTGATGTGTTTTTTCATCATAAGAACTTTGATTTAATTTATAAAAAAACATTTTAATATAGCTCCTCAGCATAGCTACCTCAGTTTGTTTTGATAAAACATTTAAGCAATGCAACAAAGTCTCAATGATTCAGAGTTCATCCATGGATAAAATTTACTGTTTCCATAATATTATCAATCTGCAAACTTTTGACACAAAGTGCTTCTTGATGAATAATGCAGTATGTAGTGTGAAAAAATTCTGAATTTTTTTTTCTTTCACTATATTTTTTAATGTTACCATTATTCCATTTTCTTTACAACTGCAGCAGTTGCACCATCACTTGCAAATCTGACCATTTATCACAATTTATATTTTATCTATTATGGCTTTTATTTTAGAAAAAGTATCCTGTGCACCAGTTTTATGTTTTATTGGAATTATTTCTAACAATTCTTCAAATAATTCACATCTTGTAAGAAAATAACAAGTTACAGTGCTGCAGCATTCTCAATTCACAACTCTTCATAGTGTTATATATAATTAAAAATTATCCATTTTTCATTTAATTGCCATCATAAATCAATAATGATTTCGAAACAACTGTCTGATTATTATGAAGTTATTATACATAGTAAAAGTTACTTAAATGTGTTCAGCTGCTGTGTTGGTTGACAAACTAATGTGTTAAAGTAGTTTGTGTTTGTGAGGGCAAAGAAGTGTAGTAGAATTAATCAAACTATCTTTAAAGAATTCGGCATCCATAAATGGTTTTGATCAGTGCACAAGAGCAAACCTTGGGTGAAAAGTTGCTTCACTGGATTTATTTGCTTCAGTTAAAAAAAAAATATTTTTTTTAACAAATTTCAGAAATTAGCTCTCTTTCCCTCAGTTTTCAGATTTTTCTCTATGATTTGTTAATAATAATTTTCAGATTTATTTCATAATGATGATATAGTATTTTTAGGGACTGATATACCTTTATTACAAGCAAAACATACAATTTTATTGTAAACAACACCACAAAAGTATGTAATTTCCCATCTATCTTGAAAAACCACCTTCTTCATCCACTTTTCTTACTCTTTGTTAAAAACACAGCTTGCAGTTTGATCTCTTAATTAAAATCACTATTATGACTTATTTACAATTTTAATGCAATGAGATAAATTTTTGTACAAAAGCAGCACTCAGAATTCATATATAATTCTAAACAACAAGTACTGATGTAATGTAGGTCTAACAACAACCACAAATAAACAGGTTTTTATATACCATATGTTAGTTTATCTTAATCTGTATAGCAAATAAAACTGCACAACTGTGCATCCAGTGAACCGAGTGAGTGATGCAAGGGAACTGTATATCAGAAATACCAACTTGATATTAAAAATCAGAAGCATTAGAATACTGAAGTGTCAGCTGGTAAACTAAATTTTTTAACTGTAGTGATGTAGAAACTCGTGATAAAATAACAATATGTTCGTTATGTCTATTTTTCTTTCAGTAGTAGTCATACATAAAAGTTAAAACTACATCACCCTTTCTGTAAATCTGTATAAACTGCATTCAAAAGACACACATGACTGAAACACACTTACGGGCCACATTATATTGCTTCATTAGCTGTTTGTTTGAGACCACAGATTTAAGACTTCTGTAGCCTAAGTAAGGATGATGTATGTTGTAATCAGGGCTAGCTTTAATACTTTTTATGACCTATGAAATCACTGCAGTTGATGCTCAGTATAAATCAAACTTTAATTATTCTAAGCAAATTTATGCTTCTGTATATTTTTTGCTTACGAGAGACTTTCTCCAAGAATGGGCCACCCTAGTCAATATCTTATGTACTGCCTATGTTCGACACCAGCTGTGATTATAACAATGTTGTCATGATTAGATAAAAAAAAAACTTTTAACTTCAAAAAATAGGGTTTTTTTTTTTTTTTTTTTTGTTTTTTTTTTTTTTTTTTCAT